CAAAGCACGCCATCGCGCCAGTGGCTTTGCCAGTAATGTCACTAATCGACTAATGTCAGTCATCCGTCGACCGTGCGCGATTATAGAAACCGCGCAATGCGCACCTTCTCGTTATTGTTAATAATTATATTTCGCGATGCAAAATGACGACTCTTATTTTCAAAGATTAATCGCACCGACTAGACTCACCGAACACGAGAACGTCGGCTTCCGGCTCGAGTAGGCTTCCTCTCTCTCGCGTACATATTTCATCATATTAAATATGTCGCTTGCTGTAAAGAGTACACATATATGTAGAGAGAACGCTAATTTTCATTTTTCACTTGTTGGAAATAATTTTTCCTAATCTGTTGTATCAGTTGTATGTATAAATGTGATATGTCGCTGCGGAAATAATTTATAATCGCAAGCGGTATTTGTGTCAGAGGTGGATTCTATTGCGCTCCAACAGCAACAAATCCGCGTGTTTCTACAAACAAATTTATATTCAACCATACTCAACGAGAGAAAATTATTTCGCCGCGATATCGAATACGTTATTACGTTAACCGCATTAACATTAGCAAAGTTTGATATCGTTTTCGCGTCGAATTTGCGACATTAGCTGCACGTGCGCTACGACAGGACAGGTCACGTCATCCTTGTCTTATTTTCCACTTGCGCGTCAAATACGAATGTATGGCGTATGCATATGTACTTACGTCTTTGACGATTGTCGCGTGGGGCATTGTCTTATTGTGAGAAAGGAGGAAATGGGAAATGGGAACTAGTCAACTAGGTGACCAGTGAGTGACGCATGACGCGCGCAATTTGGCAGGAACTGGGAACTGTCGTGTAGAGTTTTCGGTCGCGCGAGTTAGTAATCGGCACGCATATCCTATCTCGCCGCTGGAATCCTCATATGTCTGTCAACGTGGCTCCCCAACACCGTCCAACACCTCGGGGCCGGGGCCTCGGCCTCGGATCGCTTTGCGAGCGAGCGAGCGCGTCGGCATGACGAGAGTGTCCCGTCCCACTGTCTCAGCTGGACCAAAATATCACCGGCGCGCGGCGTGGCGCGGCGCGGCGACCGGCGAGTGGTGGCCAGGGATCCAGGTCCGAGTGTGCCGACACCCGGCCACCCGCTCTTAATCTTTTTCTCAAGAAAAACCTTAGCGCGAGGCCGGCGCCGCGGCGCGGCGAGGCCATTTTTGACCCTTTGACAAATCAAATCATTCGCATTCGATTATTCTCATCTCAAGCTCATTTTAGAATGTAGCGATTGGCGATCCGCTACTCGGAACGTTATTGCGGATCGCCACACAAATATAACAATCAAATTACACGTAAATGTCCCGAATTCGCTACGTGCATTCGTCGTTCGAGACGCGAGTTCGGCGAGCGGCGAGTTGCCAATTAAGTATCTGAAATATAAGCTCTTTATTCTAACAACTCTCTAAAACGAACTTACGTCTGACGTTCATGTGGCACGACCAGACTGCAACTTTTCGCATCGGATTGCATCTTTGCATCTCCAAACAGTCCAAACTCCAAACCAAATTTGATTGTGAAACACATTTACACATTTCGAAAACTTTTAGCTGAGCCACTGCTTAGCTTTCCAGCTGACGATTTCTAATTCGCTTAATATGTAAATCGACTCGCTGGCGCGAGGCGGCGCTGCGCAGCGCTGCGAGACGCGTGACGCACGCGCGGCAGCAGGTATGGCAGGTATCGTATCATGTGTTCATGTGTCAGTAACGTTCTACGTGGTTCGTGGTTCTACCACCTACGCCACTGTCGCCACTCGATCAGGCAGAAGGTAAATAATCTCCAAGTGCAGGCAAGGCAAGTGCAGGACGTGCAGGTACATACATAGAAAATAGATATATCATCATATGCCTGGCGCCTGGCCCCACCTGGCCCCGAGGTCGCGTTCAACGGATTTGCGACAAATGATCAAATATTTCTTACCCTCGTTAAATGTTGACGAGTAAGCTTGGGCTGATATTGAGCGAGAATTCCGTTACATAACCTCACGCGGGAAGATTGTATGCAGCGCGACTTGATCGACATGAGTAAGTACCGATGTAAATATGTACCTCGTCCTATTATTATATATTTACAAAATAGAAAATTGTCAAAGCAGACAACTGCTTAACAAATGTTTCCACTCGTTTATCCAGATCCTTGTGTCATTCTCATTCGTGTGTCAATTTCACTCCTTCACAGATTCCATTACGGACAGTCCAGGCTCTAAAGCTCTCGAAGCCGCTAAAAATATCAAGGATCTGGCTGTATTCAAGAAGCCTGTCGGATCTGTTAAGAGGAGCAGGAGTACCCGACCAAAGATCTTAGACGAGGACACATATATTGAAAAAATGAGCGAAATAATACAAAAGGACTTCTTTCCGCACCTGGAAAAGCTACAAGCGCAAAATCAGTATCTAGACGCTTTAGAGCAGAACGATATGAAGAGAATGCGAGAGCTGTACGCCAAGTATAGCTCCGGTCGACCCGTCACTGAAAGGCCGGTCAGTCCGGCGACTTTCGAAACCCCGTTGCGCAAAACTGAGTCGGACGACGCGCCCGCGTCCGCGCCTGCACCCACGCCACACCCCTCTGAAGCATCGTCTCGAGAAACCGTCGTCGAGTCTGTAAAGAGGAATGATAAAACCGGAATCGAAAGTAAAACAGGCCTGGACGATTATTTGAGCACTCACACGAGCGAAGACAACGCTAGTTTCGAAGAGATGATGGTCGAGGCTGAAAATAAACGTAAGCTCAAGTTCGCCTGGCTTTACGAGGCGGAGGACAAGTCGAAGGCGTGGCTCGCTATCGGCGGACCCACCGCCGACCACCATCGTCCAAGTGACGACGTCCCGGGCCCAGCTGTCCAAGACTCGAATCGCAGACCTAAACAAGTGGACAGTTGGGCTTACAAGAATAAAAATTACATTATGTACATTCCTGATGGGGTGGAACTTACGGCGGAAGAGAAGATAGAATTGGCCAAGAAGAAACAAACTATAATGCACGAGAATACGAGATTGCGAGCGAACCCGTTTAACGAGCGACAAAACAAAGAGACGATCGACGAGCTGGCCAAGTCGCAGTCTAGAGCTAACGACGGCAAGATTGGCGTAGATGGCAAAGAGGTTGTCAGAAACGCCACGCCACGAGTGAATGGTTTTAGTTTTGTGGCGACGCCAAGTCCGAGACCGGGAGAGTGCGAGAGCCCGTTGATGACGTGGGGTCAGATCGAGGGGACACCCTTCCGATTGGACGGTGGGGACACCCCGTTATTGAGGACGAGTCAGGGACCTTCTTTCAGAATAGCGGAACCGCCGAAAAGAGAGCAGCTGGCGTTGCAATTGGCTGAGAAGGCTGGTGAGAGACACAGAGATCGAAAGAACAAAGCCTTGGAAGCAGCTCGAAAATCATTAGCCACGTAAGCGATTAGTGATATTTCACATGATATATACCATACCTACATATATTAGGAAATAGGAATATCTTGGAAATAAATGTTGCATTAATTTTATGTGCGATGCATCAAAGTTGACGAGCAACTGTATTCTTTCCAGTCCGTCACCGAGATCGACCATAGACCGTCTGAGCACTATGTCTCCCGCGGCAAGAAGATTAGCGACTCAGAAACTCCGGATATCGAGTACGCCGTCCCCTCGGCGAACGCCATCGGCCAGGACTCCGTCCGTGGGCATCAAGACACCTAACGCGGCGCCACGCGCGATCGACCCGGACGATAAGGAAGCTACTTGTCAAAAGTCGGAAACTAATGCCACGCGGATACAAGGGCCCGTACTCACCGATAACTTACTCAATCTACCTCTGCAACGACAACGAGCATCAGATTTCTTTAACAAATGAGAACTTTTGTATCCTTTTGTAAAATGTACATATGTATATAATAGAAAGGTCACGTGAGATAATAGAGACGCGTTCCAAGTTCGAACGACATACATCATATCGATATATAACGACACGTATCGAACTTGTCTGTCTATATTAATATTAAGGAGGATTAAGCAATCCGTATATGTATATATTTATTGTAAATGATATAAATGATTAATTATAGAGTTTTTAATGTAATATAATACGATTATTTAACGAGGCTCCTTTAAGTCGTATCGAGTCTTATCGAATGAACGTTGCTAGTCCTGTTACGAGTTATACGGACAATTGTGTTATGTCTACAATTACTTTTTACCACATTTGATTTCAAAACTTCCTATCTGATTTCCTATATTTTTGTACAAATTATTAATTGTATCTTGTTTTTTTCTTTAAATAGATTAGTCGAAGGGAAATGCAAAATGTTCGGTTTCGATAGGCTCTCTCTCTCGAAGTCTAACGACATGGATTCACAACTATGGATCAATTTTCAAAATATCGTGTATCAGATGTGTGGAAAATGAAATATGTATTTTATGATACTGCACCTAGTTTTACAAAATACAGTAGATTTCTTTCTCTTCAGATTTTTTTTCTCGTGAAATTACCCCGACATGTTCTCCCGATATTATTTTCCTTATGTAAGTTTTCTCTCACTTGTGAATTCGCGATATGTGTTTGTCCACTCAAAAATGTACATAGTAAAAACTACGAGAAAGGGAGGAGCGCTTGGCCGCGCGAATCGCGATCGATGACCTTGATCTTCCTCTTGTCATTTATGGGCGGAAACCCATATTCCGTCCTCGCTCTTATCCTGGTGGCTCTCCGTTTCGTTTATTATTAATCAAAAATACGGAAATAAAATTAAGTCAATCGGACGCTTCCTCTACAACAGAGCAGATGATTACAATGTCTTTCTCTTTCTCTATCTCCTTCCTTTTCCCTCCTTTTCCCTCCCTCTCCTCTCTCTCTCTCTCTCTCTCTCTCTCTCTCTCTCTCGACGAGTGAAACTATAAAACGCGGTTTTTTACGCAGTTTATTGGGACAGGCGAATTCAGGAAGTGACAATAAAGTCATAATAAATTTCCCGTATAAACGCAGCAACAGGAAGTATTCGGGCATATCCAAGTCGCTCAAACAGTCATTGTTGATTGATTACAAAATCGCCACGCTCGCCAAAGAGCCTGGCGACTTGTCATATAAATGTAACGTCAGGAAGAAGAAGAGGAGAATAAGGAGAGAGAGTATTATCGTTGAGACAGATATGAGGTCCTCTTTGATCGTAGGAGTCGCCTTGCTCCTGACGCTAGCGACTCCGTCCATCGTCCAGGCTCGCAAATCAGGAGAAACATGTGGAAATTTAGGCCCAGGTACGTGTACTGTATTCCGCAAATCGCACAAAAATTGACATCACCTTCCATTTCAATCTTTTTATTTCGCTATTTCGCTATTTCGCGCGACGCAATATCTCAAGTGCTTGGAATGTCTTTTCGAGACAGCCAGACAGCTGGAGCGGCAAAGACTTTTATTACTATTAAGACTATATAATTACTTTTGTAATTTACTCTCATTATCAAATCATTAATGTCCTTATGTCCTTATACTTAAATGTAAACCCGGCATCGATACGGCATTGACGGGATCGGTACGGGGGAAGAGATTCGATTATGTCATTAATCGTATGTTGAATTTTTCCAACTAGGCATCAACGCGTGCAAATGCGGGGAGATAGTGGTGAAAGCAGCCAAGGTTCAAAAGCCGCTGTTGTACGCGTCGCCGGAAGCGATCAACGAAGCTGCAGTAGCACGCGAAGCGGTTGGAAGACTGTCCGTGGAGTCTTTTCCAAATTATAAGTCATACGCCAGCGGAGGAACGTTCAGCGGTAGCAGCGGCAGCAGCTTTAGTTCTTCAAGCTCCTCGTCTTCCGTCGGAGTTCTTGGGGGACTGATCGGCGGAAGCAAAGCTTATTCACTCTTCAGCCCTGACAAAGTTACCTCTAGTTGTGGCTGCGGAAAGACTTCCGAATCTCTGCAAATCCGCGATATCCTGTCCTCGAATGTCGAAGGAAAAGTCGTGCCCAGGTATCTCATCATCTCACGTCATCTCGATTATTTTACGTCAGATATTACAAACGTTCTCTTCACCGTTATAATCAATTTAATCAAATGTGATTCGTTGATTCGACAGTTTTCCACCGATTGGCGATCTGTGTTACCCGGGGAGTAGTCCACGTAGCGATAAATTCCAGGTGACCACCAAAGTGACCCCGGCATATCCTGGCAAAATCAAATGCGTCCCCCCAATCCCTTACGAGGTTTGCGTTCAAATACTCAATGGACAGATCGACGAGGCCGGATTGAGAAAACTCGGCTTGGCGACCGGTGGAAACTTGGGCAAATACATCTCTAACGACGTAAGCGGGGCGGCTACGCAGGGCGGATTTTACGGGAGTCTCGGAGGATACGGAGGGTACGCGGGCGTGGGTTCCAGCGCAAGCTCGACCGCAGGCTCATCCGCGTACGGTGGATACGGTGGCTATGGTGGCTACGGTGGCTACGGATCGTACACGGGTGGTGCCGGCACGATCGGACAATCGAACTCCAGAACGAGCGTCGTAACGTCGAGCAACGGAGGGTCGGCCGCGAGCTATAGATCTAGCTGCGAGTCTAACGATTTTGGCGATGAATCAGGTACGTATCAGTACTTCCCTAATTTCTCCCTTCCCTAATTTCGCATATCTACTCTACGATTAGTACGGTAGTGGCCCGGTAGTTAGGTGGTAGAGGCCAGGCCTCTTCTGCCTTTTCTTTAATTTTCCCGTCTACTAAGCTAACAATAAGACGAGTTGTGCTCGCGCGAGACACGCGCGAATTAATATTATAATAGTTAATTATATATTAACATAACGATTAAACTCCGATTATGCTCCAAACAAATTATGATTCGCCCTTACAATTAGTCGTCACTCTCGAGCTCTTAACCGCTCTCTATCGCTTTAATTCAAATATATCCTATAAACGACAATACTACAATAATTCAGTCAGTTAAATTTGATAAGATCGAGATAAACGTTTCAGAGTTCTCCGAGGACTATTCGTACCCCCGGCTGCCAGCGGATCCGGTCTCGGTCACCTTGGCGTACAAAAATCTCTTTCCGCATACCGTATACTACAACAACAGAAGGACATTCGTGCCGGAAGACAAGCTGGCGTTCGGCCACCGAACTGTGCCGACCGAATCAACGCCCGGCAAGAAGGTCGCGGACGTTCCCGAGGAGAAGCTTCAGACTCTCGACAAACCCGTCGTCGAATTGAAGCCAGTGTCCCCGGTTCCCGTCACCGTTGGCGTTTACGACGAGCACGAGGAAGCAAAGTTGGCGGAGCTCGAGGCCATCGAGCGCGAAAGGATAAATCAGGAGCAGATCGTCCAGCGGCAGCAAGAGAACTTGATTACGTACGGGTAAGGGTTGAAAAAGGGAGCGGGACATCTCTTCCGCGGCATCTTATTAGATTAAACAATGCTATGCTCAGGAGGTGTAACATTACCTTACCATTTACCTTAGCATTTTTTCTCGCAACACGGAAATGCCTGTCTCTTCACTTGGAATTTCCAGATCTGAGATTGATACGACATTTCGACATTTTCACCCAATTGGTCATTTCGCGCGTGAGCATAGTTTCCGAAACTATTGTACCGTTCGATTTCGAAAAAATCAAATTTAGATCCGCAATCTCGCTGCTAAACTCGAATCTCCTATCACAATGTTCGTTGTTTAAACAAGTTGTGAATTAGAGCGCAACGATACGCAAGCGTAATATCCAAGAACGAAAACACGCATTATCCGTAGAGTGCGCGAGTGCTGCTTAGAGAGTTGCTTTTAAGTATATTATATAATTCTATATCTAATATATATCGAGCAAATACTTGCGGAATATCTATGTATTTCGGCGAACAATCGATTTTAGAGATCTAGGATACGCGCCAATCAACCGAGTGCCGACGGGGAGGTCCTTCGCGGCGGGCCCTACAAGCGTGTTCAATGCGGAAAACGATGTCGAAGCGGATTGCGGTCCGGTAGGACCACCAGACCCCGATTACGTTCCTGGCAGTATCGTGATCGACCGAGAACTCGTGGAGAACGAAGGTGAGGTCGAGGCTGACGTCCCGAGAAACAGCCAAGGTTCAGAGGTGTACGTTCGTCACTACGCAGGCGACGAAACTAGCGACGAGGAGGACGACAGCGACGACTCCACGTCCGGCATATTCGCTAGGTTGAGAAGCGTCGCCCGGAAATACGGTCCCCGATGTGGAGCTCCCTTGTGATCTTTCGAGAAATGTGAAACGCGTGGCGAAAGGACTCCCCTCATTGACGATTCGTGACTATCGAGAGGAATCTCGATTCTTCTGAGAAACGCGAAGACCTGGACACCCTCGAATATTACCCTAGTCTCAGTTCTGTGTCTTTGTGATGTTATTATTCTTAAGATAATATATAGCAGTTGTGCGACAGTTAAATCGTTGATTTCATTACACGATTCCTAATTATCCTTATTTTTTCTTTCACACAGAGAATTATATATATATATAATATGGAGATGTACACATATGTCGTTACCTGCTGTATACGTATACGGTCCAACGAGCCATGTGCATGTGTGTGTGTGTCCAAATAAATAGCGAGAATGAGAAAAGATACAACTTGAAATTAAAACCGGAAATTGCGATTTGTACATATGTGTATATACAATTTAATGTAGCGCATTTTAATTGCAAGCAGTAATTACACAGATATAAGACATAATTTGAGATATATAATTGTAAAAATTAAATTACTTTATTTTCATTCTATCCGAAATTTTGGCAAATTTTGTTAAATTTGATTGAAAATTAGAGAAATCGTTGTGATAAATCATTATAGCAAACTTTAAATACGTCTAATAAAGTTCTCCTATCTAACTTGAAAAACTTGACGGAAAGACTTTTATCAAACAAAATTTCTAAACTATTTCTACTTTATACTTCTATAAATTATATTTCTACTTTATTACTTACTTCTTTTAGCACTATTTTAGAATATATCAAATATTACTACACAACTGAACAAAGTTCTTATTTTGTAGAAATAATCTTATTTATAGCAAAAAAAGATTTATGATAATGATTGTACAGCATTAAAAATTTTTATGATAATAAAAGGTTCGTCCAGGCAACTTGTTAAAGTTCTAACGGCTTTCCGTCTATAGTGTCTACGAAGCGCGGAAAAGATTTATAATCTCCCTTCAACTTCCTTGGCGAAAACACGACCGTCAGCACGTCATAAAATGTTTCAGACGGGAAAAGGGAAGCACCACATGGTGATGCACGATGATCGCCACGAAGGAAACATAATGTATCTCCGAGAGAGCGGCGCGGCGCACCGCGCAGCGGGCCTCTCGCGTGCGCCGTGCACCGTACGGTAGCTATTTAAAGATGCTCTACGAGTTGAGTTCAAGCGCTTCTCTTCTCTTCTTTCTTCGCGAGCGCGTGCAAAATTTACGATCCATACGCATCGGACTGATTTATTTCATTTACATACGTGGCATAAATTACAAGTGGCGAGGCGAACGAAACGACTGCGAGCGAATAAGATATTCATTTATGATGTATGTAAGTGACAGGATGCATGATATATCGTTTAAATACATACTCGTATAAATTCTATGTCGATATATCTAATAAATTATACGTTATACAAATATCCTTGTCGTGATCAGCTTGAATATCTCTCTTACTTTCCGTGACGTAAAAATATAATATATTTGAGAGAGAGAGAGAGAGAAAAAAAAAGAAGCTTGCTTTTTTCCCAAGAAGGCATATATTCTCATAGAATTAAGAAGAGATATATATCCTTCATTCGAAATGTCAATACTGGTGTCCAATTCTTTTCTAATTGTAAGTCGACAATGATCTTTTCAGCATAAATCAGTTCTTCTTATAAGAGTATTAAGTTAAGACTATCCAAGAGTGAATAATATATGATAGATTGCAATTTTGTTTTTTATTTTAACATATACTTTGACATAAAATAATCTCTGACAACGTATTGATTGAGTTTTATAAGTTTTATAAGAGACAAAAATCGACTTGTGTAACGACTGCGACAAGTGCTTTTTTTGTTGCAATTATATATGTAATTCTTTTAAACTAGTCTATTCTCTTCCTCCGGCTGTTTCTGTTTAAAGTGTTTGGGAAACAATTTAATACTAATGAGAAGATTACATGAATCTGAAGATTCATTACATGGAATGGATCTATAATAAAATAATATTATATATAAGTATATATTGAACGTAGTTTATATATTATGTATATCTAATTGTAAATTTTCATATAATATATATTCATATGTTATATGATTAGTAATAAATAATTAGCATAGCGTGGCGTAATCAATGTAATCATCTTTCATTCGTGACGATATAATCTTGCCTAGTAAACAAGATGATTTTTGTGATCTGCGTGACACAGGAAACGAGGAATCCCGCGTGGACACGCACCAAGTCAAGTATACGTGCCTACTCCACTTTTCGATCCAACTTGTCGGTCTCGCGGGACACGTAATAACGTGAGGTTATTATTTTTTGTTATTGTTACAATAAGTTTATCTGTGGTTACACCTAAACAGGAAATATTTCGTGGACTTGTCTTGAACGGAACCACTTCTATATCAGGAGTACGCGGTGTGTGCCGAGCACACACATCAGTTTAGGTTTCGTAAATCCTCGCGACGATGGCGGCGATACTTAAATTACAATCTTTTATCATTATCATCGTTTGTTTTCAGTCCAGGTTTTCTTATGGCTTTAAACTGCCATATGATGGAGCTAAAATAGTTACGTACGGCGAACCGTGTCAGCCACCGTGTTATCTGCCTGTTACAATCGAGGTATACACATAAGATACAATAATACATCTTATCCTTATCGCATTGTAGAGCAATTGACTCTTAGAGACAAATCGACGCGAATTATATTATTCAATTATCCAATTTGTTAAATATAATCAAGAATTACATATTTTAATTTTTGTCACGTACAACATTTCAAAGAACGTGCTGCAGCCCTTCCAAAATAACATACATCTATTCTACTATTTTATTTTGTTCATCGTATATATATTGTATAATATCGCCATTCCCATGGCAGTGAATCGTTGTTCAGCGAATAAGTATAATACCGCAAAATAATTTATAGGAACCTGCAAAGCCTGATGTGACAGAATCGGTTTTATCCGAATCCTACACCTATCAACCGCTAAAATTAAATTATCGAATGATCTCCACTGAACCGATCCAAAATTATCAACCGCAAGCGGAATATCCAATTGTCGTACAAGTACCTCAGGTTTCTCAACCCTTGGTTGAGGAAGTAATCACGCCGGATCCTTTTCGAGGAAAATCCTACACGTACAACATCCAGACTCTACCACCTCCGTCCGTGCCGACCTCGAGGAGATATGATTTTGATTTTCAAGTACCACCTTCTTCACCAACTTCGTAAGCATCCTAAGATTTCTCTTTTACTTTTATGTTAAATTTAAAAGAACAAATTCCGTTTACACAGTCGAATTAATTTGTTATGTTATTTGTGATTTTATTTGCTAATCTGTTGCATCACTTTACTAATAAATCCTTTCCAAATAACAAGCGGAACATTATGTTTACTGGAGAAAAATGCCTTTTCGTCAAGTAATAATATTTATTTCTGTATTTCAGAACGGTGCCAAACGATACACCACAATCCGTTAAACTTTTGACTGGCCTTACTAGCAAAATTGACAGGGTTTTAATTCCTGCTTGCCAAGTGCCATCTTCTAGCTGCTGTAAGACTGATACGGCATGAAATTATTTATAGTTATTCTGATAACGCGGTATCTCTCATCGAACTTGAGAAATACATAGTGTATTCGACGAACAAATAAAAAAAATAAATAAAGAGATTTAAAAAAGATGATTTTGATCTTTAATAACCTTTTATCCCTATATTTTATTATATCTTACTCTCATGTCTTCATATATTGGATCTATTACATCCTCCCCCTTGCTATCTATACTAGCTTAAAATTTTCAAATCCTTCTTTGATAAATCACAATAAACAGTCTTCTTTTTAAATTCGTTTTATTTGACACTGTACACTTATTTGCACTAAAATTATAGCTAGACGCTTTTTCTTTTTTTTTTTTTTTTTTTTATTTAACCTGATTTACGTACTTGTGTTACATAATAAAAATGTAATAAAAGAACCAGTTCAAAATAACAACAAAATAATGTAATAAATTTACATTACAAGCACAATACGAGTTGATTCTTAGTTATGAACAGAAGATATTATAATGACAGAAATTAAAATTCGTTAAATGCATGAATTTTTTAATTTTACTTAATTTACTAAATTTTACTAAATTTAATTATTTTGTAATGTTTGCAATATACATAATTACTTAATATGTCATTGATTGTTTTATTAAACAAAATTTATTCCATGAAATAATGCAAACAATAATAATATTTAAATTAGATAAGATATTTGTAAAAATGTGAGTAAATAATTTTTATATTTGCATGCGCGCGCGCGTGTGCGCGCGCACACACACACACACACACACAATTTCTTATTTTTGCGAGTTATTGAAAATTTGGCCAATTTGATGTGTGGAAAATAATCTATTATTTTCACCGATTCGTTAAATAATTTCTTTTTTATTTATATTAACTGTTTATTAAATATAATATAAATATAAAATTTACATCACATTTCTGACTAGAAACTTTTCATAAACATTTCTAATAAATAGTTTTTCATATCTCTAATACGTGTACACGTATACACGTAAACACGTAAATACGTATTTATATTCATATAAACGCTAATAGATGTAATAGATATTTACTGTAAATGTTTATACATGTACTATACTTCTTATACATTGCATATATGTAGATAGTACACGTGTGAAAAAAAATATATATATATAATATAAAGTAATATCGGTATACATTTCATTTCGTTGACAAAGAAAAATCATTCAGGATTATTGCACAAACATTGCACAAAAAATATCACGTTAACAACCTCTTGGGCCAATGTTGATGAATCGTGCTTCATTATAAAGCGAGTCGTCGATGAAATCATGGATAATCTCACGCGCATCAGAACGTATCTCAGTTGTCGATCGTCGTAATCTCCAGTGTTGTTTGATTCCATCACGATCTTCGTGCCGAATCTAGACACGATGATAATGATCCTGAGGGTATATGAAGCAGCCTGTTGCAGCTAGAGTCATCGAGTTTCCATCGAAACGCATCATGGCGAATACGAGTAACGTACTCGCGGCATTTGCCATCGTCTTTCTGGCCTCTTTGTCTTTAAGTTCGGTTTTCGCTAAACACAATTTGGATACCCTTAATACCTTTGAGAAGCGTCTCGACCACAAGTTACAACCACTTGTTCGCGAAAAGAGGCAGGAGAATCCGGAAGCAGAAGGGTTTCATCTGAAAAATAATAGTCCTTTGGAATTGGAAGAGGAACTGTCCGAGCCGAAACCCGTCTACGAGAGAAGAGCGGTCTACGCGGAAGAGGCAAAGGAGGTCGGCCAGACAGGCCAGAATGATGAGAGAGAGAAGGAGGAAGAAAGGGAACAGGAGAAACCGAATGCCGCGCCTGAAACGGTCAACGACATCGAAGAGGAAGAGCAAGATGCTCAGGTAATAATTAAAATATGCCATTCATTTGTTAGCGCGAATCGAAAAAAATGGAATGAATCGGAACGCGATATAGAGTAAGTCTAAAGTCCCTCTCTTCTTTCAGGATGATGTATTTTCGTACAGGAGTATGCACGATCTCATCCAAGCATTGATTCTCGCGGATGAGGAGGACATTGCTGAGAGACTGCAACAATTGCGAGAGGTAAAGGTAATTGATGGAAAGTTTCCAACATAGTCGCTATAGTCACTGCTACGCTACGCTATTACCTATGCAATGTACAATTTATTAAATTTAGCAAATTTATTTATTGAGAGATACTTGAAAAATTATTTTATTCATATTTAAACAATGGAAAAGAAAGATCGGAGAAAGAGAGAGAAAGAGAGACACGTGTAACAACGCTTTGCAACAAACATTTTAAAACTTAAAAATGTAACGAAATGGAGAGCCGCGATTAAAGGTAAGGGGTGTACATTTGTTTGCAGAATGCTACGAGATCCAAGACATCCAGCAATTTACTGAAACGTCAGGCAGTCGCGTCCGCGTCCGCATCCGCATCTGCAGCCGCGGCTGCACCGAGCGGCCTGCTCGGGGCGAATCTGTGGGACGTCGTCCCTCTGGTTGATCTAGATGCTCACTCTTGCGAAGTCGAGGCCTTCTCACACGGTCATTTGCACGTGTCAGGAACGATCGTGCACGAATTCTTTTGTGAACTGAGAAAATTCTGGCATTACGTCCTGATCGTCCTGCGGAACTTGAGGTCCGAGCTTACCCTGGGACCGCTGATAGCCGGAAACGTCGCCAGCGATGGCATCTCCGATCACTGGTTTCATCACACCTCACATATTCTCCACACCGTAATCAGAGAACCCCATCATCTGCTGATTCTGCCCGATATAATCCGAGATGCCGTACCATTCTCCAGTATCATCGGAGCCATTCACCGGGTCAGACAAGTCTTCTTCAAGGTGCTGCACTTTGGCCTCGATCTTATCCGCGGACACGTTCGTCACGTCTTCTCGCACTTGTTCTCTCATGGCACCTTGCATCTACGAGAAAGGCTGCATCACTTGCGAGGATTCGGCTCGAGCCTACCGCTGGAGGAGATAGTCGCGAACCCGATCGTATCTACAGCGGCGACTGCGACAGCGACGGCGACTGCATCCAGCGATGGCTCGATCATCGTTCCGGACTATCACAGATCATTGGCCGAAGTGCTGTCTTCGATCCGCGGCTTCTACGACGGCTACCACGCGTCTGGACTACGTCACCTGATTAGAACTGGCGTAAAGAGCTTCTCCGTGTCTTCGACGTTCTCCAGAATCCGCTCGTACTTGTCGAGAATACCTTTCCTTAGTCGCTTCGGGTGCGGAGTGGTCGAGCAGAGCACCACGGTGACGACATCCAGCGCATCCAGCGCATCGAGCTCCGTTAGTACCGGTGGTCCGGTGGTAAGCCCGGTGATAGAACCAACGATAGTCCCGGTAGCACCCGTCGTTCCTGTCGAGACCGAGACTGCGTCCGCCACCGCCACTGCCACCGCAACTGTCGCCGAGACGCAGACTCCGGTGTTATCCGCTGGACCGACGATAGTTCCCTCGGTCATTCCCTACGAATCGATCTCTTCAAACACGGCAGCTGCTGCGACAGCAACTGCAGCGGCGGCGGCGGCGGCGGCATCGCCGGTAGTTTCAGGCCTCCAGGCTACTGCGCCTCTGATACAACCGATACCCACTCTGTCCCCGACGATCCTTTCCAACACAATATCTGAAAGTAGTTCCGTGGCTGCAGCCGCATCCGCCTCCGCCTCCGCAGCCGCGGCCGCTCCCTCAACCGCGAACGTCGTTGGACGAGTTGGACAACCGCTCACCCTGTCGTCGCGTAGATACAGGCCTAGGCCGATCCTGTCCACTGTCGCACCCGCACCCGTAGCCGCAGCCGCGGCCGCAGCTGCGAGCGCGTCCGCTTCCACGGGCACGGGCCGCAGCACCCTGCTCGAGCCAGCTCGATATCGTGGACTCGATCTGGACATTGACCGTAGAATCAAGTATCCACTGACCCATTCGCGAATCTTGCCCGCCACCTCGTCAGCCGCCGCCGCCGCATCGGCTGCGACCTCCGTTTCCGACGGTTCTTTGTCGTCCGCCGCGGCCAGCAGTTCAACCAGCTCCGTTTCCCAGGGTGGCTTCAGCCTCGTCCTGCCCAGGGAGCAGATAGTTGGCGCTCTGGGTTACGACTACCTACTGCCGGGCGACGTGATCGCGGTCACCCTGAGGAACAAGTCGATTCTGTTTGGCCGCGTGCTAGACACCACCAGCCCGATCACATTCAGCTTCCTCAGGCCGAAACTGCGTGCCTCCTTGCTCCGCCACGGTGGACGGGTCTGGAATCTCCTGCCTAGAGACTTCAGGGATCCCGAGTGCGCCCGGAAATTCAACAATCCTCTACTCCTGCGTTACGGCCTTTAGATATCACGCGCTACACCTATCTCGTGCGACTAGTCCTCAATCATTATCGACTACCGAAATGTATAAAACAATTGTAAACGATTTCGATCGTGAATAAAGATGTGTCCTCTGAAATTGACTGCGCGCGTATAATTGATTCGTCGCTCCTTTCTCTTTGACACATAAATATAAATATATATATATATATATATATGTATATTTATTTTTATTTATAGATTTTCCACACACGTGTACAATCTACATATATGCAATGTATAAGAAGTATAAGTAGATGTATAAACATTTACAGTAAATATCTATTACATCTATTAGCGTTTATATGAATATAAATACGTATTTACGTGTGTTTACGTGTATACGTGTACACGTATTAGAGATATGAAAAACAATTTATTAGAAATGTTTATGAAAAGTTTCTAGTCAGAAATGTGATGTAAATTTTACTATATTTAATAAACAGTTAATATAAATAAAAGAAAAATTATTTAACGAATCGGTGAAAATAATTGATTATTTTCCACACATCAAATTGGCCAAATTTTCAATAACTCGCAAAAATAAGAAATTGTGTGTGTGATGGTACTTGAAAATCAAAATCATATCTCCTCGAGATCGGCACAGACGGAGGTGGTAGAGTCTGGATGTTGTACGTGTAGGATTTTCCTCGAAAGGGATCCGGCGTGATTACTTCCTCAACCAAGGGTTGAGGAACCTGAAGTACTTGTACGATAATTGGATATTCCGCTTGCGGTTGATAATTTTGAATCGGTTCAGTGGAGATCATTCGATAATTTAATTTCAGCATGCATGTACATACATTATATGTATATGTGTATGTACGTGCGTGTGTAAAGAAACACGCGCAATGTTCATTTTAAATAGAAAACTTTTCGCCGCAGTTATTTTCCTAGCGCGAGGATAAATCAAATGAAATTGTCGTTGAACTGTTAAAAGTCAAAAGTTTCCTTCACATTTGTAGAAATATATAAAAAATTGCATTGTGCAGATAATAAATATACAATTGTGAAGCATTAAATTCTTATTAGGCAACCGTTACACACGGTTAATCCGTGCACGGTTTTCGCAAGCGAATCGCAGCAAAAAATTCGCTGACGAATTATCGTAACAAAGCCGAAGCCGCTTTTATCGCGAGATAGCCCTCTTTTCTTTAACAATCGATGCTCGTCGGAATATCTCTATTCAATCCAAGTAAGCGTGCAAAAATGAAGCGCATCGTCTTTCGAAGCGAATTATCATATCAAGTTCTAGGAAATTCATCGAGATATCACCAACCGGGTCATTGCAGAGAGCTTGAGCCTTTAGCATCTAGTGGATGAAATCCACTGGAAAAAAGATCCACGTTTAAATTTTTTCTTTTATTCACATTTATCATGACATTCATTGTTGTCACGAATGTCACGAGATAAAATAGAACGTTCTCAAGAATGTAATGTACTTTTATTGCAAAATATCTATTGCAATATGCAATATCTTGAAAAGATATTAAATCCATCGTTCACGAGATATTAAAAATGACAATTAACTTTCTTTTTTCTGAAAAAACTAACGAATAACACAAAGTGCTAGTATCGACCGAATGTCGATCGATGAATTTTGGCCGAAAAAAGATCAACATAATTTTTAATATCTATTTTATGATAAAATAAAACGAGAAAAAAACATTGTCAAAGAGATTTGCTCGATACAGTTTGTCCGAAAGATGTCAGAAGTCAATCGGATCGTCTCTAAACGCGTTTAAACCCTATTAAAATTTATTACAAGCATACCGCTCTCAATCTCGGTACATATGTATATACAAACGACGTGACGCGCAAGATGTAGAAAGAATAAAAAAAAATCGACCAACACGTAAAAAAATCACTCTGGCACACATTGATACGCGACATTCAACATTAAATCGTAAGAATAGAAAGCATAAACATACCCTTGGTACATCTCTAATTAATCTTATCTTCAATATCTCCATCTCCATCTTCATCTTCACCTCATTGATCGCGGTATGTGTTCTAATTTTACGTTTTAATCGACGATTTAATATTCTAGATGAATATTTAATTTTGCTGAGCCTGAAAAATATAATAAATGGATATACAAAAAAGTAACGATATATTTTATTTATTGTTAGAATAAAGACGATGATATATAATGAATTTATGTATACAATTTTTAACACACACACACACACACACTTTGTAATTTTGTACACTAGCGAGGAAAGTTATTGATATCGTGAAGAGTAAAAATGATACATAAGATTATAGCTTCAATATATAAAAAATTGCGTCATTAAGCCCAGAAGGGGTAATTGAAATAAATTGTTGACAAAGGTCGGGTTTGTGGTGTCGCTATAATATGTTCTGTAGATTACTACACACACGATTGGAACTGATGGTAAAAATCAACTCATCACATTTGTTTGTGCCAAGAAATGTTTTGAGCAAAGAAACGTTGTGTTGTGTCAGGCGTTATAACGTCTGGCATAATCTCGTTGAATCTGTAATTAACCGTTTCAATTTATGACGTATCATTAGCACACGTAACAGCGCTATTCAGTCAAGTTGGCACAGGTGTGCCATGTCAAATAATGCGTTGGCAAATGAGAGCTAGAAATAATGGTTAGGCACCCACATGCAACAAGCGCAATAACCGTATTAAACAATTTTCGGCTGATATATAAGCATATTCGTTGAAACGATTGTCATTGCGTATCATTGCTTTTCTCTTATCCGGCGGAGAATTTGACCCAGCGTCCCTCGATCGCGCGTCACTCTTATCCCCTTCCCATGCAAATCGCAATGGCACGCGTTGCTTTTCTAGTGACGGTGTTGGCGGCCCTGTGTTACACGAGCCAGGTAAGTTATTACGCAAACGCAAAAAAATGTTTTGCAATTCCAAGAGTGTTCTCGATTCCGAAGAAATGGAGAAAAATAAAAAGTAAAAAATTGCATGATAAATATCAAATATTGTAAGATGCTATAAAATGCAACGGTGATCGGTCGTCGCATTTTCGCCATTGACATCACGAATTGCAAATGTTTGTTAGAAACATACAAATAATGTATGATAAACTTGATGTTTTTATCAATCGCTTGTTAGGCCATCCCGGTTCCAACCGAAAATGTGGAAGGTACGCAACCTGAATTACCCGGCATCGTCGACGTCGACAATATGCAACAATTACTTGAGCAGTTTCCCAGCGAAGTGAGAGACAAATTCAAGGATCTCACGAACAAAATCACGGAACTTGTGGAAAAACTCGGAAAGGAGCTCCAGGAAAAGAAAAAGATCGCCGAGAGCATTTTCGAGGACGCTAAAGAGAATGCTAAGAAATTATTACAAGAGGAGAAACTAAATGCAAACGAAATTTTCGAGAAACTCGAGGAAACGAAAGACGAAGTTGAGAAAGATTACCAGTATGCGCTGGACGACGGAATTGAGAAGTTGAAAGATGCCGTGGGCAAGTTCACTAGTGAGGAAACGCGTGAGAAATTGAAAAAGAAACTGGATTTACTTACCAAGGGCAAGGGAAAGGAGATCTTGGAGGAGATATTGGATAAGAGGCAAAGTGGGGATGAAACTTATGGAATCGGAAATATCCTGGAGAAGGGCAAAGGTATTACGAACATTATCCAAGACAAACTGAAGGAAAGCTTAAAGAAGATTAAGGATAATGCTGATGAAGCCGTGAAGAAACTCGAAGGACATGTAAGCGGATTCGTGCGGAATGGTAAGAAAATGAGGGAGGAGTTGAAAAACAATCTCGATCGATCCTTGAACGAATTAAGCGAAACAATGAAAAGTGTCGAGGAGAAGGCCAAAGAACTCGGGGACAGCGTGGTGGATCGTTTCGGCAAATTGAAAGAGAACGTAGCCGAGAAAGTGAAAGACAGTGTCGAGAAGTTGAGGGGAAATGTCGGCAAGTTGAAGGAAGACTTGGGAAACGTATTGAATAAAGTTGGAGACAAAGTGAAAGAAGGTGCCGAGAACATGAAGAAAAAGATCAGCGAATTAACGGAGGAAATTGAGAATCGAGTGAGTAAACTGAAGGCAGGCGTAAGCGACGGCGCGGACGTAGCGAAAAACATTGTCGAGGAATTCAAGGAAGAGCTCGGCAAAATGAGGAAAAAATTGGAGGACAAAGTCGATGAACTGAAAAACATGGCGAAAGACATTGTCGAAAATACGAAGAAAGAAATCGGCAAAGTAAATGAGGAGTTTAAGAATCGAGTTGTCGAGTTAAAGAAGAACCTGGCCGACAAGCTAGAGAAACTAAATACTGAACTCGGCAACCAGAAGGACAATGTCGAGAAGATGACGAAAGAACTCGGCGAGCGAACGAAGAAGGAGTTGGAGGACCTATCCGACAAGCTGAGAGACGCGATAAAAGACACTATCGAGGAAACGAAGGAAAGAATCAGCAAACTGAATAAGGAGCTGGAGGACACGTTGAACAAAGCAAAAGACACGCTAGAAAACGTTGTCGAGAAAATGAAAGAAAAAGTCGGCGAACTAAAGGAGAACGTAACTGACGAACTAAAAGACAGTGTCGCGCGAATGAAGGAAGAAATCGACGAGATGAGGAAGAAGTTGGAAAACATAGTCGATGAACTGAAGGACACGGTGAATGACCTCGGAGCGAAAATGAAGGAAGGAATCGTTAAGCTAAAGGGGGAACTGGAAGATCAAACCGGCAAATTGAAGGAGAAATTAATGGAAGAAGCTGGCAAACTGAAGGATGAGATTGGCAAAGTATTCGAGAGGACGAAGGGCGGCCTGAAAGAAGTTCAAGACAAGACAAGCGATATGATTGGCGGAGTTACCAACAAAATTACAGATACCGGCAAGCAGCTTGATGAAGAGACTGACCGTCTCGCGGGCAAATTAATAGGTGGTATCAAGCAAGGTGGAGAAGCACTCGAGAACACTAAGAGGAAGATTACAGGGCCCCAACCGTCAGGCTTGATAAGCGATATTTTTCTTGACACAGGTGACATCGTGGGAAAAGCGTTGGACATGGCCGATAAGACCGCGAAGGAAGCAATAGATGGAACGATAGGCATTTTAGGGGGAGTAAAAAATTTGCACGAGAATATCATGAAGAACACGGGGAACATAATAAAGAAGGGATTGAGACTCGGCGGAAAGAGGGTAACGGAGGACGCAAAAAAGACTGCAGACATCAAAATCCAAGAAGAGATAACGAGAAACACCATCGAAATGGCGAAGAAAACGCAATAGCCCTTTCGGTGAGAGAAGGCTGGAATATAACGAGGGAGATTGTCTCTCTCTCGGAAGGGGTGTCGGCGGTATCAGCGGCTTCGCCGCGGTTAGAAACACACCTTATTACTTTGGTTATATTCGAAATTAATGTGCTCGTAAGACGCCGCAAACCTTAATTTCAGTTTAAAGAATTCTCTTCTCGGAATTTCACAGTTTCTTCAATAACTTGGCATTTTATTGCCGAATTAAAATTACGCCCAGTGAGCAAAATTTGTAATTAACGTATCAAAATTCAATCCTTAAGTCTTTATAATGATTAAGATATTCTCGAGGCAATCTTTTTTCAAGATTATCTTTTTCGGGATCGCTCGAGTTACGTAACGCTTGTCGTAATTACGTCGAATTTTATGAGATAAAAAATAAAAGACATGTATCGATTTGCGACATTGCGACAGAGTTGACTTTACCCTCAGCATGCATTGTACAAAAACTTTAATAAAATAAAATAAATGTCATTATATGTTATCTATATACAGTATATACCTACACATATGTGTATATGCATATATGTACAACGAAATTATTTTCCTTAAACTCACACCTCACCTTACGTTTTATTAGATATAACATTAAAAAAACAGACTGGAAAAGCAATGGTATACAGTTTTAAAACTGTGGTTCACAAATTGTTTATCGCTATCGAATATTCACGTAAAAGAAGAAGGCGGGAAGAAAGCTTTTCATCAAAGTGCAGATATTTCGCAAATAAAAATTATGTCAATTAGGTCAAGGCTTTTAATAATCAACGATAGTCGCTAGGTTGAAGCCTTGAATAAACAACTCAACTCGCTATGTCATTAAAAAAGCATTAAGTACATTATTCCAAGTGTCGCGTGCATATTATACAAGAATCGTGAATAAATTTAAAATGAATTTTTTTCACATATGTAAAGATAATAGAATTTTTCTCTTAGCTTTAGACATTGTTTTAAATTGGCTTCATACATATTTTTATTTTTTCTGTTTTTCTTTTTTTTTTAATCTTGATCTTGCAGAGAAAGTTACGTTTCAATTATAGAAGAAAACGGAATGAAATTTACACTTCCAAACCTACTCTTACTGTCTATCCTGATTATAATTATTTAAATCTGATCAGAGTTAATTCTCTTTAATTTATATTTATCCTTTTACAAGAAGAATAGATGTTTACAACGAGTGAGGTTCATCAATTGAATTTGATGTCACGACTTATATATCGAGCGATTAAATACATGATATCGACTAAACAGCGTTTAGAAGAATCTGTAATCACTGCCCCGCGCTCTAAAAAATTGTGAGCCGGACGTCATCGCAGAGTCAGCAGTGTCGGGTGTATGCATATGTATAATGTACATGCACATATACACGTACATCCGTTTAGAATATATCTTTATCCGGTTGACGTAACCTTCCGCGCCGCGGAGGGAGAAATGGATAGAAGTTAAAACTGATAATCTCGCCTTGAACTTTGACTTCTCTTCATCCGAAATCGTATCGCTTCGTTTCGAATCGTGTTTTAAAGCTCACTATAATAAATTGTATTTAAATAACGGAAATGTCGCTTGCTACAGCTAAAGTAAAATATCAGACAATTAAATTAAATTACACATACTTTATTGAGTGAAGTTGGTTTTCGAAGCAGACTCCCGTAAACTTTCTCGACGATACGATGTAAACATTGTAATCTCGCGTCAGAAGGTCGGGACGCTTATCTCAAATGAGAGATTTCCTTCTAAAAGGCTCTTTCCTCTGCCTCTCGTAATATAAGATTCACTGTAAGTATACGAATGCATTATTCCACTTACAAAATAACATGTCCTTTATCGCGTAAGTTTATAGTATATAGGAAAGGGAGACCAGAGAGAGTCTCTCTCTCTCTCTCTCTCTCTCTCTCTCTCTCTCTCTCTTTCTCTCTCTAAAAGAAATTATAATAGCGTTACGTTTATATGTAGCCTGATCTTGATCTGAAACAGTACTTTTGTACTTTTGTTAACGATTATCGATAACCGTCAAATTACCCCGATGTGTCAATAATTTTAGTCCTAACTGCTTATTCTATGCTATACTAATTTGCCGACTCGTTCATACGTGCATTGTCCTACGTTTCATTGCGTTTCCATATAGTATATACATGTATCAAGATTTAACGCTTGACTCAATCGGAAATATAATCGGAAATGCTGCGGAAAGATCAGCCATCGGCTTTCGGAAAACAACTAAAATTTCACTTGAGCTAAAGACGCTAATAAACTTATTACTATTAAAATTATAAAGTGAAAGAATTTTTTCAAGATGGTATAAATATTTGATGTAATTCTACAAATAGCTTATGCCGTTATTTGTATAAAATTCCTAAAACATTACTAAAGATAACGGCCTTTTAATACGGAATCTTTCAATAAGAATCCGTATGATATCCATAAAGAAGTAATTCGAGCATTAAAGCAATAATAAATATAATAGAATAAAATATAACGAAATAGCGTAGGCCGTTTCCTTATTACAAATTATCTTTGACTTTGAAAATATTTAGAACGTTCGCCGTTCCGATTTCCAAGATTCAAATAAAGTGCGGCCTACTGTGCGCGGTGAGAGAAACGCAGGTCATTGTCCAAGTGAGATAATAAGCACTTTGCCCCTGCGTCGATAAGAAACGCCTATAAAAGGGAGTGCGATCCTCCATCCTACGCATCAGTCGTATTTTCCTAATCGACCAAGGAGAAAATACCAGCGTGAGATGAGGTGCTTACCCGCGGTTATCCTAGCCGTCCTCTTGGTCGCGACGGAGGGCAAGGTTGTGCCGGCTAGCGATGTCGAGAGCCAGCAGACTGGTACGCAGCAACCCCTTCAATTGTCCGATCATATCAAAGAGGCCCAAGCGGTCATCAACAACTTGGGCGCTCAGCTACAGCAGCAACTCAACTTGCCCAACCAAGAGGAATTAATCAACACCATGAAGGAGCAGAGTAGCAACTTGGTCAACAATGTCCAGGCGTACCTCAAGAACATGTCCGACGAGGTGAGTGCGAAGAATATTTAACACTGCACCCGCTGCCCTTGCACATTTTTTTACCCTCACCTCGACAAGTTGAAACGTTTGTCCCCTGCAACTTGTCCGCGGACCGGCAAAGCGAATGCTCGAGTAACTATTATACGTGTTTATGTTTTATGTTAAAAGCGACCGTTTTGCCTACCGAGACATCTCGATTTTATCGAGATTGCTCGTTCGATATGTCGTGGCTCATCATCGTTTGCGCGTCGCGCATATGCCATGATCCACATATATGGAGATATTAAAGGCTGGATTGTTTTGTTGTTCGCAGTATCAGCGCGCTACCTCTCGTACCTAGAGACCTAAAGATTACGCATTTTTAAAATTAGAGATAAAAGAACCGCATCGTCGCATCGTCCATTCTCCACATAAAGGATTACTTGCTCTCTCGGAGCTTGCAAAGAATTGGCAAGAGGAAAGCCGAATGGCTTATCGATCTAGCCATCTAGCCTAAATCGATCCGCAAAGAAACAATCAACGCAAATGGGCACGCCAAAAAGACGACACTTGATATCGATATCGAAAACATTTCAAAATAATATCATTGATATCCAGGCGTTTTACGCGAGTCACCGAGAAATCGTAATATTATTATATATAATATGCCTGTGTGTACAAAAATAAAAATACTCATCAGTAAACGATAAGTAATAAACACCGACACGTTTCTTACCATTTTTCTATTTGCAGATAAGAAAAACCTGCCGATCAAAAGTAGAAAAAAATTTAATATTATAATTAACGCGCGCGCGCGCATTATATTAGTTCCATTTCCTCTGTTATGTACGCCCCGCTGTTGTTAAAAATAAAAATAAAATATCAAGTGTTTTATCGTTATAAAAATTAAATATTTTGTTGCATTATTTCAATAATTGAGATAAAAATTTCAAATTCCGGTAAAAAAATATATCGAACGAGTAATTACGCGTGAAATTATTTATAAGTTTGCACGTGCACATTCTTCATATGCTGTAATTCCTCTGTGCTATCGGAATATTTTATTGCCCATCTTGCCTATCTTCGCATCCGCGTACGTTCAAAATCAATTAAATTTCAAATCTTTCGATACTTGGAATTTTTCCAACGAAAAACCTTCCTTCTCTAATTGTAAGCGGTTTGAGATAAGCCTCAGAGACTGCTGTATGCCACTCCTGGCTGTATGCACGCATGGTGGATCGTTTGCAGATCAAAGCCAAAAGCCCCGAGTTGGAGAATCTTTGGACAAACATGAAGAGCAAGCTCTCCGAAACGTTCGACAATCTAAATGTCAATCCCGAGACGACGGAACAGGTGAATCAGCTGCGTGCCAAATTCCAAGAGGGTGTCCAGACTCTCGTGACGGAGTCGGAAAACGTCGCTAAGACCATCAATGAGAATTCCAGCAAGGTTCAGGAGGGTATCGCCAAGTTGACCAAGCAGGCAATCGACATCGCCGTGGAGGCTTCGCAGAATTTGAACAATCAGTTGCAGCAGGCCACGCCGGCGCCGCAGCCACAAAATTAAGGAGACCAAATTATTTTCGCAACGTATTCGCGCACGTGCGGGAATGTGCGAAACATCTTGGAAAAAACAAATTTGTCAAATTTGCACGGAGAAATCCACGTTCGCATCAGCCGATCCGTCTTATCTCACAATCAAATAAATACTATAAACATACTCGATAGCTGACGATGATTGTTAATAAAAGTACTTGCGTGTTCGTGCCCTTTGTCTGTTTCTCTGAACCCTACATTGTTACATCGCGCATTATAGTCCGATAATATCTTTTCTCATAACTGCTCTTACATGATTTTCACTAATTAAAAATTATTTGACATTTAGAACCGCTAGCTTTCCTTTTTAAAGGATAATAAAATAAATCGCTGTAATAAAGAGAAATTTATACTGGGAACGGCATTTGTATCGCAAAATTTCTATATATTTACAATATACATAGAACAATGTAATATTGGTAGCGATATGGTATGTCAAATGCGATAAATGCAAAACGGGAAATGTTCATTGATAAACTGATATTTTCGGGGGTGACTCGATTTACATCAGGGACTCGTACTTTGATACGTGAACGACGAAGGATAAACGTGAAGATAAATCGAAATTAAAAATGATTTTCCGGACGATCGATATTCTTATCGCGTATTTCTCGCAAACATGTAAATATTTGCAAACGCTTAAGAAAATTTCCTTTCCGCATCCCAATGATAACCGAGTTAAAAAGCACTGTCACTTTCACATTTCAACCCCGGCCGTTATTTCGCGCGACATCTAATTTTAAATTAACGACTTGATAAAACTCAAACGCAACGACTATAATAATTAATTAATACATCGGTAGCTTCTGCACTTTTCAAAGTAATTAAACGTTTTGCTTTAAATAACGTTATCATAGATATTATATATGTATATGTAAACATCGCTACTTTCAATAAATAACTTTTCCTTTAGCGTCCAATTACATACTCGGCTTTCAATTATTTATAACAATTTTAATATTGATTCGAGAGAGAGAGAGAGAGAGAGAGAGAGAGAACATTTAAAGACAACAAAAGGGCGATATAGGATGGCTTAATTCTTAATAAAACTCTTTACATTATAATTGTGGCCTTTAGTGAGTTGAAAGTAAAGAAAGGAGTAAAAATGATATAGAAAATAAGACATCTTTTTTTTTGCATCTGCTTATACTCACACGCAGTCAACGCAGTCAACTGGAAAATACGTCATCTCTGCTCATCGTATCGTTGTATGTATCAGTGATACGTAACGACAAGGCAAGTACGTGCACCTGATCAGCAAATTCCGCTTTGGTTTCGCATTGCAAGCGTCAGTCAAACCCACTTTTATTACAAGAATTCGTCGTGGTGACCTATAAATCAAATGTATCATTTTAATTGACATGAAATTTTATTAAAAAGATAATATGAAGAATCTCTCTCCGTTACTCTCGATATATTACAGTTATTCAATCAAATTAATGTTAGCATAAGAGGATATTAGCAAAGCATAAAAATTATTCCGTTCGCCTACACAATATTGCCGAATATGCACATATATTTGATTCTTATAAAAGGATGGGTATCGTCGAATCGTCTCATTTTGTCAGTCGAGGACATTGGTATCGAATCAACGATATCGAATATCAAGTGCGTGATATTCCTGTCACGTGTTATTTCTTGTAAAGTATCGAAACTTTTACAGAGTTTTGTTGTTTCTTTGTAAAAGAGTACGAGTGTTAAACAGAGAGAAAAAGAGAGACGAGTGCTACGTATATTTTGTCAAAATGGATATATTCTTTCTCTCATTGTCAGTTTCTGTTATGTGTACCGTAAGTATATATGTATAAGTATAATAGGAGCCTATACATGGCACAAAGCGGGCAATGGTTTCAATTAAATTTAATTTAATCAGAAAGATAACGCAGTGATACATATATATGTATATATATTCTGCTTCTTTAATAAAATAATGAAAATCTTACCGAGCAGATATCACTTGCAAGGACTGCTGAAATTTCGATAAAGAGTAAACCTGAAAACATGTCCACGAGTTTACTGAAGAAAGACGTACACGTCCAAATAAATAAAGGAGCCATATCCGGCGACGCGGACGTTGAGAGGTCTGAAAGGATAAATCGTGGATTTGAAAAGATAATCGAGTTTGTCAATGTTTTGGGCCAAATGGATAATTTTGTCTACGACAGAACGAAAAATATCATTCGCAAGCTCAATGCAATTTACGACATGGACGAGAATCACGAGAATGAAAGATATCGCGGGTCTCATTCTAAATCGCGATGAGAAATCAGAGAAATATATATTTCTTCACGATTAAAATAAAGACGATGTTTAATTAAGTATTTTACAATAATAAGTGCTAAAAATACGTTATGTGCACTTCGTTTATACTCTAGAGTCTAGCTCCCTTTCGCACTTCTTTTTATTTTTAAGTTTTCCGTTATATATAGAAGTAGAATGTGCATTTTTTTGTCACGTACTATTATCTATTCAAGACAAATAAATAATATTCTTTAATCAACGTTATGTATATGCGTTTTTATATATGGATGTAAAAATGGCTCATACAATGTCATTCGATAATAATGTATCCTCACCTGAGTCGAAATCCGCCTATATTTATAAATCTATGTAAATTCACATTTAACGTGAATCAAGAAATTTTCAACTTATAATAATATAATTATAATTACTTATCTTATCCATTCGTACTCGTGTATAAGCGCAAAGAAACGAAGCGAGCATCGAGCATCGTATGTTACGCGTACGTCGCCATCTAGCGATGAAATGTCATACGCGGTTGCATTCAGTTCAGGTAGCTGCCATGGTATATTACCAACGTACACATTCCATATATATGTATGTATATGTATATATATACACACACATTGCACACATAACATATATATGATATATACCGTAAATAATCGTGCTCGATAGATGTGAGCACGTTTTTCAGAATACGTGTCATATTTCGACGTTTGCCCTTTTCCCTTAGCACGCGAATCCTTTGATAAGCCATTTACTCGATTTGACCATCACTGAATAATTATACTTAGGTATTTGCATTTGCAAGCCGGGATTTCAATGACAAGCTCTCGAGCATATACATATACTATATATACGCTTCAGTTGCTGAAATTCGCGGTCGCGCGAAACTCGGATATTGATCGACAAGACCAGACAAAACTAATCAAACTCTACCGTCTACCGTCAACGTCAACAACCTCGTCTGTTAATTATCTGAATAATGTTTGATAAAATGATAAATGTCCGCGCCGCGACACACGACACGATTCGACATCGACCATCGACGGTCGGTCGGTTGACAATTGACAATTGACCGAATTGACATTCGTTCGGTCGGTTCGGTCGCAAGCGTCGCAGGCGTCGCGACGTCGCGAGAATGGTCGAGACTATAGAGAGTCTAGAGACTAAAGACTGCCCGACTGCGACTCCCGAGACTGGTCGAGGTCGAGCAGACTCGAGTCACCGAGACACAGACGCTCGAGCGAGTGACGAGTGAGCGAGTACTCGGAGTACTCGGAGTTCGGACTGTTTGGAGTTGGGTGTCGAGTGTCGGGTCGAGACTCGACGACTCCTACTCGAGCGAACGGGCCGGACACTGCCCGACAGGCGTTCACCAGGTGGCGACTGCGTCCAAGAGTCACCGTGATCAGGTTGATCAGGCGACTTGTAGCTTGTAGTCCTTGTAGGTACATACGTCAAGAGAGAGAGAGAGAGAGAGAGAGAGAGAGGTTGCGAGCCCATCGTGTGTCGTGTGTCGTTCCACCACATGTTGACTAGTTGAAAACGAGGAAAGAAGCGCGCATACTTTGCGGAGTCCGCGGACCCGCGGGCCCCTCGCCGCCTGCGCCACTTGCCGCTCGTCGTTTGTCGTTTGCCGTTTGCCGTTCGCACTTTGCGGACCGTCAATCGTACATACATACGTACATACAACATACTTTACGTACGTGCATATACATACATACGTTCTCTCCCTCTCTCTTTCTCTCTCTCTTTCTTTCTCCTTTCCTCCCTTGCTCCCTTCCCTATTCCCTAGACGTGAGCGACGTAAAGGTGAAGCCCCGTTGGCCGAGAGTCGTACGGACGGACGAACCGTAGAGCGCGCAACTTTCTACACTCTGTCGAGGACTGTGCAGGACTGAGGAGCAGTCAGCAGCCGTCGCCTAGTGCGTTACGTCACGCGGTCGTTGACAATCGTCGGAGCATCGTCGAGAGTCGAGACTCGAGACACGACACGAGCGTGGTCAGTGGTGGTGCTTTTGCTTGATCGCCTGTGATCGCTCGTGATCGCCTTGTCGAGTGATCGGTCGAAGCCAACTTGCGCGAAGCCGCTCGTACGGTCGCACGCTGTCGTAGTCGTACACGTCGTCCACCCCCGTCACTCGTCACTCCGTGCGTACGTATCGCATATCGCATATCGCTGATCGCTGATCGCATCGCGTACGCGCGTCCTCCGTTTGGGTTAGTCGGTTCGGATTCGGGCGAGAGACCGTCTCTAGCCTCGCGTCTCGGCTATAGCTTGTAGCTTGTAACCTGTAGCCTGTAGCCTGTAGCCGCGGTCGCTCCTGTCGAGTCACGGCTTAAAGTCACGCAACGCAACTGATCAAAGTCGAGTGCGATCGTCTTGCGCGCGTCGTGCATTCACTCGCCGTGAGCCACTTTGCTTGCATTCGGGCTCGTTTCGACATATAACCTCAAAAGCCTTCGTGAATGTTGATAGTTTTCGCAGCCTTCGCGGCCTCCTTTTCCTCCTCTTCTCCTCCTCCCTCTCATCCTCGACATTCTCATCTTTATCCTCATCCTTGCCTTCGCCGACGGCCTTCCTCCCTCTCGTGGTCAGTCGTTTCCGTCGTTCCGCGAGAACGTTGCCGACGAACGTAAGAGCGTCGCCGTCTACGGGCCTACGGATCTTTTCGACGTCGAGCGGTCATCGGTCAAGTAGTCAAAATTCCGGTCCCTACTAGGAAACGAGAGGGCCTCCAACAAACCGGTGGCAGAAATCCATCAGCGCGTGGCCAAGAACCGTCGGGCAAAATGAATAGCAATAGCAAGAGGAAGAACCGTACGAACAATAACAGGTACTGCCAATCACTTGGCTTTCCTCGTCAAGATCATAATAGCAGGTATAATATCCAACACATAGCGATACGTATATATCGACCATTAAAAGTAACTCCTTCTCCTTGATCCGTGCCTTCTTCCAGATCTCCACGGGCGCGCGGGCCGCAAGAGAGATGCGTCGCAGCCGAGGGGGTTTATAACAATGCTCATTTTATGCATGCGGTCACTAGCCACGTTGGCAACATAGTGCAGGTAGGTAGGATGCGACCGGCCAGATATAAGCTAACGTCTCTGTAAGGTTCTTTTCAAGGCCGCACACACACACACACACACAGACTTTGACTCCTCTTTCTCTTATCTATTTGCAGATTCAAACTCAAAATGGCTCGGTGTTCGAGGGCGTGTTTAGGACGTTCTCGAGTCAATTCGACGTAGTGCTGGAGATGGCTCATCGTGTCGAGAGCTCGGGAAAGATTAGCGTAGATAGCGTAGTAGAGAAATTAATTTTTAACCCGAAAGACGTTGTCACTATATCTGCCAAGGATGTCGATTTAGATTATGCTATAAGAGATACTTTCCAAACGGATACCGCCATTAGTAAGTTTAATGGTTTGATCGGCGAGAAGGAACTCGAGCCCTGGGATCCGCCGACTACTATGAATGGAGCCGATTTAGAATTGGACGGTGCCGCCGTAAGCGCATGCATTTATCACGAAAAATGATCCTATTCGTTTAGAAGGGTATGTTATTGTATTGTATTGTTCTATAAAATTTTTTCTCAATTTCAGAACGGTTGGGACGTGAACGAAATGTTTCGTAAAAATGAACAAGAATACGGAGTTCAAACCACGTTTGAGCCTTCCTTGGTCGGTTACACTCTACAACTACAACGTAAAGACACAAAGGATTATAAGGAACAAGAGCAAAAGGCTGCTGAGATAGCAAATGAGATCGAATCTCAACCAAATCACAAAGCTAGATTAGAACTGGAAAACGGCGATGAGGAGGAAAGATTTGCAGCTGTGGTGAGCTTCAGATTACATTTCAGAATTTGTGCTTTTATTCTCCCCTCCCCCTTGTCTTATCAGTCACTATTTGATTCTAGTCACGACCTACTGAGGGAAAATATATTCCGCCACCGTTAAAAAAGAAAAATGGTAATACTAGTAAACTGATGCGATCCGGTCAGAGCGAGCCTCCATCCTCGCCAGGAACCACCAACAACAAGAATGTCTACAGTCAACCCCCTCCGTCCACGGTCAATGTAAATGTCCCGCAGCCGAGCATGCCGGTGGGAGTACAGCCTGCTCATACCTCGGTGCAACATCCAGTATCCTTAAATATGAGTATGCCGCCCAACGGAGTGGTTGTTACGTACAATAATCCGCCACCGCCGTTTGTGCCTCCACCGACGACGCAGTCGCAGCAAGGTATGTTACTTGTTCGCACTTTCTTGCAAAGGTGAGATTCAAATGGAAAGTGCTATTTGGAAGCTATTTGGTTGCTGTTCGGTATACTTACTCTGTTCTATTCCAAGATTACTGTTTTTTTATCAATCGACTTTGCGAAGCTACTAATAATTCGTTTAGCGACTTGATTCGAGTTTCATGCTGCAGTGTATCATGTGTGTAGTAATAGCGCAATAATAATCTTCAATTAACCATAGTAGGGGCTCTTTGTATGTCGACGATGTCGATGAATATTTTACAATTAATACGGGGAATAACAATATTTTTATACTTTCCTTTGTAGCGAACGTACAATGTTCTCCCCTTACCTCAGGAAAGGTATCATTGACGGGCAGTGTATAGTTGTAGCCGCCTCCGTCATACGAAAGGCGCGTGCATGATTATGTGAATGATAAGTTTTCTTGATATAGCAATCCAGCAGAATCAATCGCAACCTCAAGTTACTCCTTCGATGGCGCAAGTAAACTTTCCACCGCAACAACAGACGCCCCCGAGTAAAATAAATACGGAGAAACGTGAGCGACCTGGCAGACAACAGGTTTATCAAGCTGATAAAGCGCCACCAGCACCATTTCCACAATCAAACGTTGCGTCTTCTCATCAGCAACAACAGTCTTCGCATCAACAACATACATCATTGACGCAACAGAACTCGGTAGAAGGGCAAATAGTCATACATAAGTCGGACCATAGAAAGGTACGGCACATACTCTCATTTAAATCTGTATTTTTTTTTCTCCCTTTTAATCGCGAGGCAACTTATATATGCCTATAAGTTTTACTTTAAGGTTCCAACACCACGTGGAAGAGAAGAACAGCATTCGGAATTGAGACAATTTGCCACGGAATTCAAATTAGCGGAATCGCAGGGGCCGCCAGATACCCCTCAAATATCCAGAAAACAACAGCATCAGCATCAACAAGACGTGCATTCCGCTACTCCAATGAATCAGCCGCATCACCAAGGTCCCCATCAACATACGAGTCCACAACAGCTACCGCAACAACAGCCACCTACGCAGCAGCATACCAGTCCTCATCAGCAACATCAAACTGTACAAGATGAACCAGTTACCAGTAAGCCACCACCTGGTCCATCCATAGTAAGATCGACAAGTCCGCCTCAGCAGCAACAGCAGCAGCAACAGCAACAGCAGCAGCAACAGCAACAGCAGCAACAACAACCACAACAACAACAACAACCACAGCAACAACAACAACCACCACCGTCACAACCACCTCAGACTAATACTCCGGTGACGGTGCAACAATCTCCATCGGAACCCGCGGTTGATAAGATAACTACTGCTTTTAAGAAATCTACTTTAAATCCAAATGCTAAAGAATTCAATCCAAATGCCAAACCATTCACGCCGGTAAGTAATGTATATCACCTGTTAGAAAGTTGAACCTGAATGGAAAGAATAAACGTTGTATCTTTACAATGTGCAGCGCTCACCTAGCACACCGACGCCTAGTCGACCGCATACGCCACAGACTCCTCAGTATACAGGGGCGACTATGCCCGCGACCGTTGTTATGCCGGCATACGTAACGCCAACAGCTTTCAGTCAACCACCTGCTCAACAAGTGGCAAGGTTCCGGAAGGGTCAGTATTCCCACGATGCATTTATATATCTCAAGTGCACGTTTCTTACGCGTTCAGGTGCATGTAATAATATAGTTGACAAGGTTCAAGTATTAATACGCTCGTATCTTTTTTGTAGTACTAATATAGATTTGAAAAGGTCCTTCAAAGTTTTCTTTGCTTCGAACGCGTTGTTCTTGATGTTCTCGTATACGAATCTCACGAATTCAAACTTGGAATCACTCGTTCTTCCAAAGTTAGTTTAAAGTCACGTGTAGTTTTTTCTCTTTCTTCCGTATGTATGTGTTTGTGCGTATGTGTGTGAGTGAGATTGACCATAATTACAAGTGTTGTAGCGTCGGCGTCGTATAAAACAAAACAGACACCGTGTGTAACACGAGGTATGTCGTGTTTTTTATAGTGCCAATGATGCAGCATCGTGCGCCAGATATAGCGTCTCAGATGCAAGTGGCCGCAGCGACGGGACAGCCGTTATTAGCGCCAGCTATACATCCATTCCAGGTGCCTTATCCAGGACAACCGGCGTACCAACAAATGGTACGAATGGTCCAGGCACCGCCGCCACCGCACATGGCTACTCCGTACCATCATCACCATGACTCGCAAGGTCCACAAGCCCCCGGGTTACAATACATGGGCCCGCACACTCATCCGCACCCTCACGTAGCTCAACAGCCGCCTAGCCAAACGCCGTCCCCGGCCAATCCGAATCAACCGCACACCCCGGGTGCTTATAATCCGCCCGGTACTCCACAGCCTACGTATCCGCAACCTCCGCCGCAAAGTCACGCGCCGAGCTATCCGATCATGTGCCCTATAATTCCATCTCACTTACCGTCAATTCCACCGCAACACATGCAATACCTGCAACCGCAGCCGCCTCCGGGTGCGCAGCAGACTATACCTGTCATTTTACCGCACAATCAGTAGCCGTGACATAAAGTAAAGGAAGAAAAGGAAGGAAGCACTGTTCTAGTATTCTGAAAAAGGTAGGATAAGACTTTCAAAATTGAGTTACTTTCATGATGGCCCCGATCGATCGGCTACAAATATACTGAGCGATATAAATATACCTATTCAGCGTCTCAATCGTCTCAACTTTGATGAGCAGCTTGAGAGTCATCTCGCGTTACATTTCGTTGCGGCAGAGAGAAAGAAAGGGGCAAAATAATTTCAGCCGGTAATCACGGCGAAGCAACGATATCCCCCGATATACCGAATGGTACTATAAACGGATTCTAAAACTGGTGTCTCTCACCAAAGAGAGTGTTGACCATCTTGAAAGTAACCTGTTATTCAAAAATATTCAAATGTAGGTCGATCGTTGAATGACCTATGGCCTGTATTATCGTCGAGTCCCTTGAAAATTTCGTTGATTATTATTTTAATCAAGTTTTAAAATTGTAAAATGATAGTTTATCATTATGCAATTTCGCAAAATTCTCTCACAAGTTCACTTTTGTCGGCGTAGCATGTGTATCGAAGAATATACCTATATCGAGAAAGGGTCGACGCGACTTTTTCGAGATCGTGCATTTTTATCGAGTAGTGCTCAACTCAACTGTCGGAGATAAGACGAGGACCGCTCTCGTTCAATAGACGTATTTTAAATTCAAGGGTTTGAATTTTGTCTCGTACAGAAGAAAGCTAAGCTTGCACTACTTTGTCAGGTCAGGTAACAACCAAGATTTAGCGAGAGAAACAAGATTGTTGACGCGAGCGACGTCATCTCTCTTTTGCGCTCTCTCCCTCCCGCCTGCCCGCTCGCCCCTCTCCTCCCCTCTCCCTCCTCTCTCCTCTTTCCTCTCTCCTCTCTCTCATTTTCTGTCTCTCTTCTTTTTTCCGTCGTTTTTAATTGAGATAATTATTGAAATTATACGAGAATAAAGTATATGGAAGTACACATGGCATTGCATGGCATATTTTTCTGCCCGTGACTGACAATGGGTGTCACGTCGATTTGGAGTAAGGAAGACGTCGGAGAAAAAAGAAGATGGGACGATATCGCGATTCCTTCGAGTTTAATTTGAGAACGAAATGAGCGATAATTAACGAAGCTGGAGTACGGCTTGCAGGGTAAAACACTAGCGAGATACGCGATTCTGCGATTTGTTGACAATGAGTTTTGTTACTTGTATCTGATATGCGAGGTGTTGATATGCGCGCAGGATCTTTGAACGCGAAAGATATAGACTATGCGAGATAGATACGCAACATGCGACGGCACATGGACGATCTCGTGCTATAACTCGGCGTTAAAAAACGGTGCGAACAGCAGGCATTCGAGAGGTACATAATTTGCATTTGCATGTCTTGGACATTTCAAGTTTACTATCGAAATTTCAATTTATTTCAATAAATTTCAATAGTAAACTACATACGTTTGTATAGCCGTTGTGTTGTACTCTGCACTAATGGCAGACAACCTGCGTTTTCCACATTTTCCACATTTTCCACATTTCTCAATGCTACGTACGCAATTAACAGACGCAAGATCCAATAATGAGAAAAGCGCATTGTTGGACAATCGATACGTTTATATTAGGTATGGCGCGACACGACGCGTGCTTAAAAAGTTTTTGTCGTTTGAAAAAGATAAAGATAAAGAAAACTCGCGATATATATATATATATATTATTAATAGCTTTGTTGCGCTCTCCAGAAATCCGGATTACTAAAGATTGGCGCATACATTTTTGCGAGATGTAAGAAAGGAAACGTGACGAGGCGCGCTATCGTTTCTTACATATATTTGGTGATTAATTTTTTTCATTTAATTTTACGCAAACGCGCTTGTCCGTAAAAAACATCCGTGCGTAATCCTGATGAGAAGAAGAGAACGTGATCGACTGTCACATTGTTACCTTGTACGTTTTGTAACGAAGACAACGTTACTCGCGGGGCGGCGACTTTTGGCAGAGGTGGGGAGCAGGACGATTGACGTACGCGAATTCTACGACGTGTTTGCCAATTATGTACCTCTTATCGACAAGTAAAAACATAGATACCACGGACTTAGAAATCTATCTGAACGTAGCGTATACTGCCACGTAGGTCAAGGGGGGCATGAGATCAGAGGCGAAAAAGAATTGCGTTTAGTAAGCCGGCATCGTATCTCTTCAAAATGATCGAGCACATAATGCACAGTCGCCAACTCTTTTTCTACCGAGTACTGACAGGATTTATAGAAATTTATTATAAATCTCCTTCCTAATCGACGATCCAAGAATAAAGGGGATATTTGTGCGCTCGCCCCGCGCCCGCGCCCGCGCCTCGCTCAATTAGACTCGAAAGGATTAAATTTGTATATCGTACGATATTAAACTTGTATTTTTGTCGCGTAACCACGCGTGGAATGCGAATGCGTTGCGCGTGCGACGAAAGTATATTTTTATTTTGCGTGCGTATATGCCATATCGGAATAAGGGGTGAAGGGGAAGGGGGGAGGATTAAAAAGGGGAAGAACGGGGAGAAAAGTCCGTTTGTTTTATTCGCAGCTAGAGATATACCTACGCATTGCCAAATGATTTGTCGGCATTTGCGCGGCATTGACTGACGTCGAGTTGAAAAAAAGGTGGGCAAAGTATTCCCCCTTTCCTTCCCTAATCGCCGCTAATCTCAGTTTCCCCTTGTAGAAGGCTCCGTTCGGATGAATTTTTAATCCGCGCTCGATACCGATTGGGAAAAGAAAGTTAAACAACTATACGGCCTTAGACCTAATCGTGTATATAAACGGAAGGAAGCAAAAACAACTTTTGCCTGAGAGAGATAGTTGAATGTGTGGCATCGTTAAACAGATTTTATATTAAAGAGATTTAAAAAAAAAAAGAAAAACATCAAAATAAAATCAATACGTTAAAAACCAATTTTTTTGCGTGATATCTCATCCCCTTCTTGTCCTCTCACCTCGCGTATATAGTTTTCGAAAAATTTACTCAAAGCAGAACATTGTCTTGGATATTTCTTTAATTTACATTTGAAGCAATACGCCGTGCTTCAAATATAATGGATTTTATTATAATTGGTTCTTTTCTTGTTATCCTCGCTTCTATTTAATCTCATCCATTTGATTTTTGATTGCATGTATGTATGTACGTCTGTACGTTGCCGCCAATGTAAACCGGATTTTTTACGCATGCGCGATAAATAACTAAAGCCCCTTGCACAATAGGCGATAGCGAGACAGCGACAAAGTTGCTGACGAGGGCCTCCGCACAATGAAAAAATATAAGGAACAAGGAACAGATTGGCCGCGTTCAGGAAACACAACTGTTGAATGAGCGCTCATTATGATTGGTTCTTACACTTAGATCCGGATTAGAACCAAAGGTAAGAACCAATCATATTAAAGAATCACTAACCGCTCACTCAACAGTTGTGTTTCCTGAATGCGGCCATTAAGTATTATTATTCTTCAATTGAAAGAAAGGAGAAGAGGAATGCTTTGAAGTCAAACCTGACGCTTTGTGCCGCGCGTCAAGTGAACCGCAGCCTTGAAAAGGCACCTTACTTCTAGGGACACTTGTGGTTCTGGAAAGCAGCCCTAGTTTGAAATTACACGTGTGGTGCGACCAACGACACAGCACATGTCCCATGTTGATGATGGGTTATGGGCACATGGGTCTGGGTGCAACATTCGTGTTTTAAATGGATAGATGAAATTATTCCCTGATATTATTTCGGAATAAACGGAGAGAAAAGAAGAAGATCACAATGAAGACACAGAAATGGGAAGAACTGGATGTGCGATTGAGTGATCCTATACTGCAAACGCTCAAAGAGTTGAGATTTTTCAACATGACACCAGTTCAGGTAACATACCACATACATCGTCTCACAATACCGACAGAAACACGCTTGTGTACATATACACGTCTGTTTAGTATTTCGTTTATAGACGCAACATTTATATTATGATATGATATGATATGATATGTTTTGTTTCATTTCTAGGCAGCATGTATACCGTTATTATTGAACGGTAAGGATGTTGCAGCGGAAGCGGTTACAGGCAGTGGCAAGACACTCGCTTTTCTTATTCCTCTACTGGAGATATTACAAGTAACCTTTCAACTTTTCAACCTCTTAACCTCTCGTTCTCGCGTGCATTTATCTTTCGAAACGTTTAGAAAATGGCAGAAATGCATTAAAACAAATATTACTTGCGCTTAAAGACATAGACAGATTAAGTGAAAGATTTGTCAATCGCACATACATGAGAGATAGAAGCTAAATTAACGTAGACATGATTTATGTTTACTTTTCTTATTTATCTTCTTTTCCTATTGACTATTGACTAACTGTTCTAGAGCGATTTATGTTTTAATGTAATATAATGTATTAAAAAGTTTTATCGCAACATGTGTATAGAAGCGAACTGAAAAATGGAAGACTATGGAGGTAGGAGCGATAGTGGTTAGTCCTACGAGAGAACTGGCTACGCAGATTAGTGAAATTTTAATCAAGTTTTTGGAGAAAATACCATCGTTGACACAAGTATTACTGGTTGGCGGTGTGACGCTTAAGAAAGATGCAGAGAAATTGAAGAAAGGAGCTAATATTATTGTTGCCACACCTGGTAGATTGGAAGATATCTTGTCTAATCGTACGTCCATCAATTTGAATCTGTGTGTAAAATCTTTGGTAATTAGCTCATCTTCTCGTCTAAAACAATCTCATTTATATGCAATAGAGATTCCCAAATTATTAACTACTAAAGGTATTTACTTTTGTTCTAGGAATTTCTTGTATTAGATGAGGCAGATAGATTACTAGACTTGGGATTTTCTGCGACTTTAGATAGTATTTTAAGCTATTTGCCACGTCTTAGAAGAACAGGACTGTTTTCTGCGACACAGACGAAAGAACTGCAGCAATTGATTAGGGCAGGACTGAGAAATCCAGCGTTAATCGTTGTAAAAGAAAAGTCTAATGTCTCCACGCCTGTAAATTTAAAAAATAATTTCACACGTGTCCATCCTGAGTACAAATTGCCAGTGATGATAGATTTTATACGATTAATAGGATTTAGAACCAAGTACATGATATTTTTACCTACCTGCGCGTGCGTGGATTATTTCAGTCGAGTTATACAGGCGTAAGTGCATAATTGACAAATATCTGTAATAATATTACAGCTTTATTTGCTACTAAATTCCATATACTTAATTTTGCCATCTGAAATGTCTCTGTTGCTTTTCGTTCGCGACATTTTTACTTTATTGTCAAACAACACAATTTTTTCCAATTTATTTTCTCACCGTAATCACAAAAGTAATAATAGAGATGTTTCAGATCAGATTAGGCAAAATATTCTCTACAAGTGGTTGTATGCAATAATGCACGTATGTGTTTATGTATATGTATATGCGTGCACATATTTATTACAGACTATTACCATCGATAAATGTACTTGCTTTACACGGTAAAATGAAAAGCAAGAGGTATAAAGTATTCGATAAATTTCGACATGCCGAAAATGGTATTTTAATATGCACAGATGTAATGGCTCGTGGAATCGATATATCAGAAATAGACTGGGTATTACAATATGACCCTCCCTCTATGGCTAGCAGTTTCGTACACAGGTAACCTAACAGGTGTTACATAGTATTATATAGAAGCAAATATATATTGATCAATGTTTTAAAGATTTATTCTCTAACTCTAAAACGTGATTTTTTTTATCGTATAGATGCGGTAGAACCGCTAGGATTGGTAATGAAGGAAACGCATTGCTGTTTCTTCTAGAAACAGAGAGTGCGTATGTAGATTTCATTAAAAGAAATCAAAAGGTCGAACTGCATCGAATGGAAACAAAATTGAACGAGGATACCGTTGATGAATGCTTACGGTGTATGAGGCAGATGCAACAAAAGGATCGACTTATGTTTGATAAAGCCAACCGTGCCTTTGTTTCATATGTGCAAGCGTATAGTAAACACGAGTGTAATTTAATTCTTCAGTTAAAAGATATCGATTTGGGAAAATTAGCTATGGGTTTTGGTCTTTTGAGAATGCCAAAAATGCCAGAGCTCAAGGGGAAGAATGTGTCATCTTTCGTTTGCCCTGAAATCGATGTAAACGCGATACCTTATGCAAACAAACAACGTGAATTGCGTAGGATTAAAAAATTGAGCGAATACCAGAACACTGGCGTTTGGACGAATAATTACAGATGTAAGCGAAAGCGAACTGAATCCTGGTCTGAAACCAAAAAGAGAAAACTCGAGAGACAAGAGAAACGAAGTAAACGAAAGGAGAGGAAGGAATTGAAACAATTTTCAACAACTTGCAATAAAAAGAAGAGGAAGCGAATAAATGACGAAGATTTTGAGCAATTGGCGAAAGATATAGCATTAATTAAAAAATTTAAGAAGAGGAAGGTAACTCGTCGATTTCTTCTGTATTACAAAACCAAATCTCCCCCCACCACCCCTCTTTCTTTCTCTCTCCTTCCCCTCCACACACACTCTCTCATACTCTTAACTTTTCTATTTTTATTGTTTTGTATTTCATATTTTGTACCTTCATCTTTAATTGCAGATATCGCAGGAAGAATTTGATACGGCTTTCGAAGTCTGAAACTATTGGACATAATTGCGCGAGACATGTTTAAGATATACTTCGATCAAAATTCTCATTTTCTTAATATTTTCACTGTACGTGGTTCTCTCAAAATATATTATACATGTGAAACTTGGTAATGTAAACGCACAGTTAGTATTTTCTTGCGATTCCTTTCCTTTGAGTTAATTCCTATAAAATGTTTACAGAATTCGTATCATTACGTAGGTAAATGGAGCGTTAGAAATTGTCGCGTTTGTGACAAGTGAGAAATGTTTATTTGCAGGAGATAAGGATCGCTCAGAGGGGATTCATTTGTTGTCTTTGCTATGTTATAAGATTTGACACGAATACGAAGCTCAAGCGTGCAAATAAACGCACACGATAAAATGCAAGACTCGCCTTTGTATGCTCTGCTCGTCTCTATCTTTGTTGGGTCTTTAAAAGCGTCCCCACTACGCGACGGGGCCTGGATAACGCGGTAGAAGGGAGCGAAATCTACTAACACTACTAACAGGCGTTACGTGGTACGTGCAAGGCAACGCGCGCGCGTGTATGTGTATGTACATGTATATGTATACCTTTTGAAAGAATGGGGCTGTCTGTGTCTCGGAAAATCACAAAGTATTGGTATGGATAGTCATGTCGGATAGTTGCTTCGATGATTCATGCACATTCGTGTTGTATGTCAAGCGAATGCACGAGATAAATTTACGTTAAATATAAGAGTCGTCTTCCAATAACAGAGTCTTATTCTCATGTTGGAAAATGGAAGAAGACATGACAAATCGCCCAAAGTGGCTGTTGGAACTGGAAAGTCGTAAGCGGAAGGTACCTACGTCAAATTTCAACATATACCTGTACATATACTTTGGTTAAAAGTCGATAGATAAGAGGGAAACGTAATGTATATAAAATTAAGATTGAAAGAGAGTCAATTGATTGTATCGTGCTTTACGTTTGCTCAGCCACGTTTAGCGCACGAAGCTGGAGCTGGTGCACCATGCACAAACTGTAATTCCGCGTGTCCTGGTCTCGATCTTCATTTCTGGCGAAAAATTTGCAAGAATTGCAAATGCGGTCGAGATGATCACGATGTCGATGATGATGAATTCCCGCAATTTGATCTGCTACTTGGACCAAGCCTTGGAAAGTTTAAAAAGAAGTCCATGCGTAAGTATTATTTATATACATAATTAATCGCAATTATATAAAAGTGTTATATTTCTCACTCTTGTATAGTTGCAAGTTACAAGGTATAAAATTGTAAATTTTTAAAAAATCTATCAAATTTAACACGAATAACGACACTACTTTTACGATCACATACGTAACATTGAACGTTTTGTTTGTTTAAAGTACAATAATATATGGTCAAAACACAATTCCTATTTCTGAGTAAAATTCTGAGTCAGATTCTCTTATACAAAACTTAATATCTTTATAAGATATAAAGGTATTTTTATGTGTGCGTGCGCGCGTGTTTGTACATATGGTATGTATATGTGATAGATACACGCACCACATCTACCTCTTACATTAAAAATTGATCTTTAGGTTTGCAAGTAAATAATAAGAAACAAAACGATGGTGAAACTACATTCGAGTGGGTGCCGCCAGATACAACTAAAGAACTTGCTGTGGATTATATGAAAGCTTTGCCTGCGGAGAAATTGCCGATTAAAGGATCCGTCGGTGCTGTTTTGAGAAGGCAATTGTTACAGAAACAACTTCCCCTTCATGATATCGATTTTAAAGTCTGTGATGAACTTAGCGAACAGGAGCAGAAACAATTTGAAAAATATTTAGAGAATATAAAGAGATATGTAGGACAAGGCAAAGTGATGAAGGTAAGTCATAGCGACTTGACTCAACAGCGTACATCTCAACAATACATCTTATTTTAGTTGCAGATTTGTAAGATTATGTAAATATCACACAGATATTTACATATTTGAGATTTTTTTCTCAAATGAGAGTGCTTCAAGTGCATTTATCTATTTCTCTAGCGCGCATTTATATTTCGTTTCGCATAATGTAGATATTATTATTTTCAGATGTTCGGTGCTCGTCCATTTGATCGTTCTCTCATGACACCTGTCAATGCAACCGATATGCAAAAGTGCAGTCCACAGCATAAATCTCATTCTCATGTATCTTCCACTGGTGTTCAATTACGTACACCGAGTAGCTTTGCTGTAAAAGGTCCGTATGCGAGGCATCCGTATGAAGCTCAAAATAAACGAGACGATGAGGTATCTAGTACAAAGGAGTATAACTATACTCTAGACAATGTGTCTGCCAACAGCAGTATCGCGAGATCGCAACCAATCGAAGGAAAATTGACTTGTGAGAATTTCCAACGTGTACACGCGCACGATACTGTATCGGTAAAAGGTATAGATGGCAAGATAGTTAATTCTTCAATTCTTACACATCTCGCTGAGCAAGAAATCGTATCCGCTCGCGAGAGGCATGCTTTCGGAAATTACACTCCTCCTCACGGAGGAGACGCTTTCGAAGGAGGACACGGAGAAACGCGATGCCTGAACGATACCGCGTCGTACATCGCGCATCCAGAAGATGCGCTGCTGGCGGACGCGCTTCTTCCGCCCAGTGCGATACATGCCAACGATATTATCGGAAGCACACTGGACGAAAAAGGATTGACGTTTATAAGGGAGAAGCTCGCCGATAAATATAACGTCGCGGAGAATCCAGTCGCGATGCGCGCTGTTTCCAAATCGCTTCGACCGTTAGACACGAGTAATACATCGTATCCGCGTAGCGGAGGAGTCAAGGAAAATGATACTCCCGCAGGTGTCGGCATCAGGTACGCAGAGAGAACGGAGAATATTATCGCTGCTGCGAAGAACCCTTTCGAAACGGCAGAGATAATCACTCCTTTAGAAGCAGAGAGAAAGATGTATAAACCTCTGTCTGAAGTAATCGAATCGACCATTCTACCTGCCAGTAGTACCGATGTAAACGAACGAAAGCGATGCGGCGCGGGCGGTTTGTTATCGAATAGCAAAGTGGCGAATAACGATTCACTGGTGACGGATACAACTAAAGCCTCAATTACGGAAAGCATTGTGGATCCATTATCGAGCAAACGCATTTCCACAGATCCTACTTTTCCCACGTCGAACCTATCAACGCAAGCTCCTGATTCGCAAAAGCCTATCGATGCAAAATCCAATCCGTTGCAAGTCGAGTTGAGTAGTGGGATCCTGCAACCGTCCCTCATACATTCTGAACAGTTGCAAAATCAAGTGTTTCCTCACATCGTTGGAAACTTGAACGAACAATGCGTACAGTATACGCAACTTGCGGACCGTCTAAAAGATACAATTGAGAGCTTAAAGCTGGACTCGACAAGAGTGCACGAGTGCGAAAAATGCCACGAGGACATACGCGTCGGCGACGTAGTCGTAATCGCGGAGAAGGCCAATAACGCATCCTGGCACCCTGGCTGTTTCGTTTGTTCGGTATGCAACGAATTGCTGGTGGACCTCGTATATTTTTATTACAAGAATAAATTGTATTGCGGAAGAGACTTGGCTGCATTTCTAGGAATTCCTCGATGTTTCGCTTGCGACGAGGTAAGTGTGCAGGACATTTCTCATTTTTTAAACGCACATTTTTTTAAGCGCGGGTCGCGTTCTTGCCGTTCGACCAATTTCAAATCGACTTGAATTAACTCGGCAAAAATGTCGATCGAAAGAAGAAATCGCTCATTATCGTAACTTTTCAATTTACAATACTATAAAATATATGTAATATTGAAAGACTAAAAATTCTTTCAAAGACTATCAATTGTAATAATAATTTTTTATTATTATAATTTTAATAATTCATTATTAGATATAACTTTAATAAATTTTTTCAAGCCATAAGAAATGGCTCAAAATGACAACAGTGGTGATTCGACTAACCATTTCTATTTGCTGCAGTTGATCTTTGTACGGGAGTACACGGTTGCGGAAGGGCATAATTATCACGTGAAGCATTTTTGTTGCTGGGACTGTGACGTACCATTGGCTGGGCAACAATACATTACCGAAAACGATCGACCATTGTGTCTGCCTTGTTATAAAAAATCATATGCAAAAACATGCGCCGCTTGCAATGTAGTGATTGCCGCCGATCAACAAGGAGTAGCTATAAAAAATTTAAACTTTCACGCGACTGAAGTTTGCTTTTGCTGTTACAGCTGTAAGAGAAACTTACTGAACGGCAGAATGGCGATAAAGAAAGATAAATTGTTTTGCAGTAAAGAGTGCATCGCAAAGTTTTTCAATTAGTAAATCAATAATATATAATAGACAAAAAAAGTCCGACTGCTATTTTCTGACGTGTCGTTTTTTTGTTGAGAGAGAGAAATATAATTACGTAATTCCATTATGAGAATATAAGAAACATGAAGTATTAAAACGTAAAATGTGTCATTAATTACTACTAATAGTTAAGAAAAAGTCACGAACCTGAGAAAATGTATTATGTACGAGATTTTGTGACGTAAATCAATTATAATCCGATTATAACTTTGTTGTAAACCGAAGATGAATAATAATTTTTGTTTAACTGTATTTTAATCCTTTTGTTTAAGCCTATAGTGATTTTCGTACGTATTTATCCGTACGAAGAGTACGCTAATGAATCGCCAAAGATTTTCGTTCTGTATGTATGCAGAAATACAATAGGCCTGTTCGTTTTCGCTTCGGAACTAGTGCAATTAGAATGAAATATATTTTCTTTCATCCTAACTTATTGCACTTGTTCAGAAGTGCAGCGGAAACGATAACAGGCCTAATAACTCAAGTTTCTTTCTCTCTCTATCTCTCTCTCTCTCTCTCTCTCTCTCTCAACTTTAATAATTTATTGTTGTAGTGTCTACGTACATACATACGTTAATTTATGAAGCGCGATAGTCATACATTTTGATTCTAAAGATGGGAGGGAAAGACGATAGAGAATGTTTTTTCGTTGCGTTTCTTTACAATTATATTTGAAGACGTAAAAAAATAGGAATAGATTTGTGTTCAATAGCTCTTAAATGTAAGTTTCTTATACACATTTCAGTTATGTCTTTAACATTAGTTACGTGTAGGTTTGATGAAGAATAACCATGCAATTACTCATAAGATATTCAATATATATCTATATATGCTACGGGTTAATTTCCAATACTTGAAAATAAAGCGTTATTCTTTTAATTTAAACAAATTATCATCTATCTCAATCGTTCGATAATATAAATTTAATAGCTTTTCTTGTTCCCATCTTCAGTTTTCTCTTCATATTTATACAGTAAAATTTATCATCCATTATCAAATATAGAGGTGCTACGTGCTACAGAAATTTCGAAATTACCTTTCTCGTATCAGCTATTAGCGATTTACTTCAGGAATAACGAGTTGATGTAATAAAAATTCAAGTCTTTTCGGTATTTCTAGATATCAATATACAGTTACATAATTTACCGATACTAAATATACGATATTTACGTTAAACTGCGGTATAAGAAATAACGATAATTACGATATACGATATACGAAATTTAATGATAATATAAAATATTCCACACATATGCACGTACAGGTACGCACTGATACACATCATTCAACAATCATCAGGAATCATCTTGCAAACATGCCATGTTCTTTATTCCGAATCGCTATCAACAACAGATTGAATACGCCTAAACGTATTACGAGCCTCTCGATGTCGCGGCGGCGTGTCCGGAGGTGTCTTCTTAACGTTTTCCATATTTCTTCGTGCACGCGTAACTCTTCCTGAAATAGAAACCAATTTAACGTGCGCGCTATGCTCATGATATCATTAATTAATATAATATAAATTGACACCAAAAAACTTAATAATATTTACCTTTATAATATTTACCTTCAGATATAATATTCGACGTGTCCAGTTCGGATTCCTCCCTTATTTCTCGCGCTCGTTTACATTTTTCCAACGTTGGCCTGCCACTAACGCCATTTTTTTCCAACAATTCCTTTAGGCGCTTAATTTTTGCAGCGTTACTTTTACAATCAGCCCAAATGTCATTGTAACATTTTACTCTCACGCCAGCGACACTTAAATATTTCTTCAACGCTTGTATGTGTCTATCTTGTGGTTTCTGAAATAATTTAAAATCTTGTGGAAAAAAACCGCACAGCGCAGCGATTAACTACTATACTTACAGCATTACTACGTCTCCCCCTTCTACCTTTCATAGATCTCTCTTCTCTTTCGGAATTATCGCTTTCATCTTTATTCGAAGATTCCTTTCCTGATAATTCTTCCTCTATTCCATTTTTAGCTTTTGTCGTTTCATCTGCTCTCTCTGCTTCAGTCACGTCTTCATCTTCGTCGGATGTACATTGGGTATTCTTCTTGTGGGACGTTCCTCTCATACCTCTACCTCGTCCTTTTTTTGACTCAACCAAGCGATGTTTGTTCGATGACTTCTTCGCGGTCGGAGATGACTTTTTCATCTTCTTTTTTGTTCGCGGACTGTAATCCTCATCGGACGTGCTGTTCTGGCTATCCTCCGAGTCAGAAACCTTCAGCTTACTGAAACTTGTTCGCGAATCTCTTCTCTTCCCCCTGGTCTTTTCTGATTTAATCTTCAACGTGTCGGCGAGCACTCGCTGCGAATCAGACTTTTCTCTATCTGACGAACAGTCTAGTTCCGATTCATTTGGTTCGGCTTTGACGATTATCGTCTTTGGCCGTGGATTTGCATCTTTTTCGTTTTCGCTCTCAGAACTCGAATCATCTTTGTCACTCGCATATTCAACCGAAAGCTCCAGTCCATCTACCACTTCTGTGTCCACAGTACGTCTTTTGCCGGTATGTTGTTTCCCCATCTCATCCTTCTCGCTGTCTTCCTTTTCATCTATCGTTTCGTCGATTTCTTCTTTATCTACCTTATTGCCTTCCATTCTTACTTTCTTGCTTTCAAGAATGGACATTACATGTGTATTTGTAGCAGGCTTTTGGGCTGGACTGTCCTTTTTTAGTATATATAACATATATATAAAAAAAAGACAGAATTATGAAGGGCCCAGATAACATCTCGTTCATTGTATGCGCAAATTAAATTAAATCTAATAAACAGAATGTATCTCACGTAAGCTACGTTTAAGGTCAAAACATCAATACAATTTGGATCACACTACACTACAAAATATAGTAGAAAAAAAGTGGTTGAAGGGAAAAAAAATTGACACGCTACATATAGGAGGGAAGAAAACTTAATATAGATTTTTGATATCTAAAGATCAACTGTCTAAGCTTTTGGTAGTGATGTAGTTTGTATATTATTACCTCATTTTCAATAATTTCCTTCTTAACATTTCTTTCTCCAGGACTATTGTTCAGAGCAATGTTATTCTCATCTAAAGGGCTTTCATTCCCATTATCTCGTTTCACGTTGTCACCCCGTTTCTCTTTATTCTCCCTGTCTGTATCCGATTCAGACTTATTCAGGGATGTCGCTTGTACCGTTTGCTCATTTTCTGGACACAATGTATATTTTTCTTTCTTTACATTACATTCGTCTATATTGTTTTTGTCTGAAATAATTTCAGCGTTGTCATCTTTTATCATTATTGATTGTTCGTCGAAGGAACTTATTTGCCGTTTTTTAGCAGGTAACTCTGCGTCATCTTCAGAATTTTCTACTCGTAGCCTTTTCCTTGGTAGTATACCGTCTATAGAATCTGACGACAGTTGCAATTTGTCCATGTCTCCTTCCTCAGTTTCACTGTGATCAGATCCTACCATTTTATGATAGTGACCTGAAATAATTGCACGTTTCATTGTCAAGTATTGTAAAAGGAATACATAAGCTGAACGATGAGACTTGTCTGGTGTGCGTGTACGTGTGTGTGATTAAAGACACGTAGTTTTGTAAAAATGTCAAGAGTGTAAATAACAAACCCTCCTATTTTACGTTGATGAGAAGGAGCCTTACATGTACCTTTCAACGACGCCAATTATATCGAGGATGTGCTGAATTTCAACGACGTAACGATTTTCCTGCGTGTTGAATTACGTTAACTGAAAAATTGTTTCTCGTCAGTCTCGCCAGTCTCGTCACTCATCGAGAATCAACAATCTTGCAAAGAAAATTTGTTGCGTTGCGGATAAATAATGATTCAAACTATCGATGTTCCTATATAAATCACGCGCAACACTTTCGTTGTCGCAAAATATCAATAATTCTAAATTATACGTATTGTCACTTTACCACAAATATTCACATAATCATCATAATTTACGATCGCGTAAATACGTTTGCGCGGCAAAATCTACACGTTAATGAATATGGAGGATTCCGGATTCGTTCATATTCGTTTTCTAGGGAGAAGAATATTACCAGAATTACCTAAAGCCTTAAGGTAGGTTTTCATGGGCAATGAAATGCTGCAGGCTGCAGGGCGCAGCAGCAGCAGCGAGAGCAGCATTTCACTGCCCATGAAAACCCATCATTACATAGTGTATGGAGATATGGAGATGCACAACACAACACAGCCTGTGTGAACAAGTTTTTGAGTCGATATACTACATAACAACACATAACGAGATATATAAATATCTGTTGATTCAAGAATTCAAGAGAATTATTAAAAAACGATCCCAAAGAATTATTAAAAGACTGAAATACCGAATTTCTCAAACATAGCAGTTTGCTAGGGCGAGCACACGGTTATGGTACGTCTTATTTGCTACTTTATTTCGTTCTGTATAAACGCTGTACCATTTCTGTATTCTGTATAAATTATGTGCATTACTAGTTGTATTTTTTTACAGGATCGCATAGATACTTGTAAAACACAAATTGACAAAGTCAAATACAAGAATGAAGATATCGGCTCCGTTGTGCACAGGAAATCAAGCAAAAAGTCGAAATCTAAAAAGAGAAAAGTTAATAAAAAGGAAAACAAGAAGCGTGAGAAAAAGAGAAAATGCTCATCCTCAAGCAGCGTGAATATCAAAAATTTTACAATTCTTAGTTAACATTTATACAACTGTACGATACGATATAAAATTTTTATGAAATATTTTTAGGAAAACGACGACGGCGATGAATTTGAATGGGTAGAGAGAAATGATGGAGGACAAGTCTCGTCGTGTACTATTGAAAATCTTGCTGATCGTAAGGTACAAGAAAATCAGATTAAAAGAGACGAATGGATGAATGTGGAAAGTTTTGTTCCATATTTATCGAAGCCCATTAGTGCAAAACCACAAAGATCAGACATAACGAAGGAAGGCAAGGCTGAGATTCTTCCAAATGAACCAGGGCAAAGTGACAGAGAATTGAATCCATACTGGAAAGATGGAGGTGATGGGTTACCCCGAAGGAATCCAGGAAAACCTGACAATCCCAAGATTTTCGATGCAACGTGGCTAAAAAAGAGTCTTCGGCGTGCCGAGGAACAAGCTGTTCGAGATGGTAAATGTCTAGAGGAAGTGGCTGCTGAACGTTGGGGTGTAAGTTAATTGAGAGATGACACGTTGTACGAAATGCTACATTAATTTTATTAATGATAGAAATAAACCTGTTTTTCTTAGTCCCTAGAAACTATACGAACGATGATAACCGAAGCAGAAAGAGTGTCCAGTGCCGAACGGAATAAATTGTATCGCAAAAGGTCACACAATGACAGAAACAATGAAGATTCCTATAGAATTTCCGGTCTGAGAATGAGAAAGCATTCGAGATCGAGATCTAAAAGTAGAGACCGTGTTGAAAAACACACAACATCTGACTACTCGTCCCAACGTCGCGCAGAGTTAAAACAAACTTATCAAAGACCCAAAGATAACGACGATTATTATCAACGGACTATGCCCGCCAGTAGTCGTATGAAAAATTGGAAAAAAGATAAAGAACGTCAAGTTATCGAGTTACCTGCATCCGAACCGAAAGAAGTCGATTTAGGGAACATTAACAGCACGAATGACATGGATGAGGGACAAAGCATTGTTTTGACCGAAGCGGAAATGAACAAATTAGGAGCAAGAATTATTAAAGCTGAATTAATGGGCGATGATGTATGCTTCCAGTTTTATTAAATCTTGTTAAATGTCACTTTTATATATAACTTGTTTCAATCTTACGTTTTACTTATTGGAATGGATTTATTTATCTAGGAATTGGCAGCGCACCTTAAAATCCAATTAGAGCACGCGAGAAAGCACGTTGCATCATGCAGTACCAATGCGCAGGAGGATAATGTAATTCTCACGAGAACCGATGCAAAAGGTACGCGCATTTCTCTTTCGTTTCAAATACGTGTGAAAATGAATCACGCTCACATTGAAATTACATGGAAGTATATGCATATTAGGTACTGCAAGACCGATACAACCTAGAAGTCAATCTAAGCGAGAAAATTACGGAAAGAAGAAAACTATCGAGACACATATCTCTGGTGAGAGAGTGCGCCATTTCATAGACGATGATAAATATTCCTTACGAGAAATGGTGAGTAATGGTTTCGAAACGATTAGTCTCGAAAAGTCTCAAATGATTGTAACGCGCGCACGTGTAACGCAAATTTTTATTTGGCAGTTTCAACGAGAGAAAGGAAGGTCCACGAATGAAGACGAAGCAATTTTCACTAAACTCGCTTCTAGAGTAAGTCGATTGAGTGAACTCGAACGCGTTGAATGAATATTGAAAATAATATCGAAAATAATATCTCCTTTTGCAGAGCATGGATCACATGGATGATATATTTGAGCGACAAATTATACAAACGGATTTGGAAGCGAGACAAGACAAGTTGGATCGTACACAGGCGATTAAAGAGCACAAAGATTTATCTAAATGTATGGACACGTGTTGGTGGTGCCTTGATTCGAAAAATATGTTGAAGCACATGGTCGTTGCAATGGACTCTGTGATTTGCTTAAGCCTGCCCGCTTGTACCTCCTTGAGTAGTGGTCATTGTATATTGACTCCTGTACAACACGTGGCGTGTCAGTTGCAACTAGACGAAGATGTATGGGATAGGTTGAAGGTGATTGTATATATATATATATATATATATATAATTAGTTTCACATCAGTACCACCGTCTATTATTCTACACAATGACATGAACGTGCATGATACACACATTTTTACAGGAATTGAAAAGAAAATTAATAAAGATGTTTACGAAAGAAGATCTTTATCCGATATTCTTTGAAGTGTATAAAAGACGTTGTAAATTTTCACATATGCAATTAGAATGTATTCCCTTACCGAAAGAGATTGGCGAGTTGGCACCGATATATTTTAAGGTAAGCAAATAATTGCGTTACAATTACAATATAAGATTTATAATTGTTAATCTTTAAACTTTAATAGTTAGCTTCTTTCTTTTACAGAAAGCTTTATTGGAATGCGAAATTGAATGGTCCATCAATAAGAAAATTGTCGATCTAACATGTAAAGGTATACGCCACGCCATACCGAATGGTTTATCATATTTTATGGTAGAATTTGCTTCGCATCCTGGTTATGCTCATGTGATCGAGGATGAGGAAATGTTTCCGCGGAATTTTGCCAAGGTGAGACATACTCACTACGTATTATATTAAAATTATTCACTCCAAGACTTTTCAGCTTTTAACGTAAACTGATGCTTTTTTTTTTTTTATTATTTTTTTAAGGAAATAATAGGAGGGATGCTGGATTTGGATCACAACCTGTGGCGCAAACCAAAAAAACAAAGTTTTGAGGAACAAAGATTAAAAGTATTAGAATTTACAGAAAAATGGAAAAAGTATAATTCTCTACAATCGGAAAGTACGTAATCGTTTTACTCGGAAAAAAATGATACAATTGTAAATTTAAATTTAATTGTGGATATTTTTTATTCTTAAATAAATCTTTAATCTCTGTACATACAGCGTTAACAAATATCACGTAGTTAATGAATTTTACATATGTCGATATATAGTTCATGGTTATACGAAAATTTTGTAAAATTATTTCTCATCGTAAATCACTGTAAATCACTCAAACTGATGCTTTCCAGAAATTTCTTTTCGTCAAATGTTGTTAAATGATGATACATCAGTCTATCATTTTTCTATCTGAAGATTCATTTCGTTAATAAAAAATGAACATTTTCTTTTCACGTTGTAGAGAAAAAAAGAAAAGATGAACTTTAACTAAAAAGAACAGACCTATTGACAGCAACTGCACATGATTGGGTTGCAGAAAGAGAAAGATACGCTTTCTCTTTCTCTCTATCGCAAGATTTTGACGATATCACCTTATGGCTAGACTCTAATGAAACCAGTGCAGGATCGCGAATTGAAGACTCAGTGGAAACTAGGCTTGTGTTATATATATATATATATATATATATATATATATATATATATATATATATATATATATCTGTTTACTGTCACTGTGTCTCCGTCTGGCGCGTCTCTCAGCTCTCTGTCGCTCTCTGTCGTGCGAAGGTTCTCCCCTCCCCTCCCATCCCGTCCCGGACCCCGGTCGCGGTCCCGACTGTCCCGAGTCCCGAGAGTCCTGATGGGGTCACATTTACACGGTCGTTTCGTTGGTCTCTCGTGCATATCGGTGCAAAAAAGAAATAGAAGAAAATAAAATCATTGAAGAGAGCTATATGCGAAATTGAGGTAGCAAAGATATAAAGAAACAAGGTGTTTGCGAGATAGAAATCAACGATGGACGATACTTTAGAATTTGATTATGCCGAAATGCTTCATCACATAAGCGTAGTCGTGTCGGACGGTAAGCTGCCTGAATTTTAGATTTACGTTTGCATTTATATATTTATATTCGTTTAATCTTCAACGAAAACTTGACGGCTGAATCACGTCTGTCTTGTGTCTGTCCTTTCGCTCAGATTGCCTACGTTCGGAAATGGTTGACGGCGTACCGATACGAAAATTATTCGTCAGCAATTTGGCTGAAAGGGTTTGTATCTTGTCTTTGTTTCTCTCAATTTTTATGCCATAAATGTTATATAATTCCATTATATTTGTCTGACTATCCATCTATCTGTTTGTTTGTCTGACAAATTTTATTCCAGACAACTTTCAAGGATTTACGCACATACTTTTCTATGTATGGAAACGTCGAGAGTTGCTACTTGCGTAGAAATCAGGGGAAAAGTAACTATGCGTTTGTCACGTTTACTAAAGTAGCAGATGCAGTGACGTAAGTTTCAAAAGGAGGCTACGGCTACACTACTCAAATTACTGACAAACAATGATTGTTTGTAACCAATTGTTTGTAGAGCGATGCAAGACGGGAGTAGGAAGCGCATAAGATTGCACAACAGAGATTTAAGGGTGATGGCCGCAGATTCTTGGCATCAACCTGACAGTACGGAGCAGAGATTGTATACGATGGGAAAAGACTCGACCAAAACTTGCGAAAGAAAGCTCAGCACGGAACAATACGTTCACAAGTATCTGCAAAATGACACCGAAAATGTATCCATCCATATGCTGAATGACGACTGCTTGAGACATATCTTCCTGTTTTTGCCAATTATAGATAGAGTCCGCATAGAGATAGGCGAGTATCTTATTCAAACGCATGGTGTGTTGAACATTTTATACATATCGCGACCTTGTACATTATCCCCCTACTATATTTATTTACAGTTTGCAAGCGCTGGAGAGATTTAAGCCAAGATTCCTGGCATATGATTAAGACATTGGATCTCTCGCCATCTACGTGGGGTTTCACGTACACCCATACCATCCGTACGGCTTTACTTCGCAAAATATTACTTAAATGTGGCAGATTCTTAACGCGAATAAAGCTAAATGACCCGATTCATTATTTAAGCCAAAGCACTTTGACCGTTATCGGGAAACTTTGCCCTAATCTTACGAATATCGACGTTACCGCACTGACAGTTTGCGCGTCAGGTATACGTACATTAGCAAATAATTGTAGAAACATAACCAAGTTTAATTTAGGACCATCTACATATAGTTGTGATAACGAGTTAAAGTGTCTCTTTAAGCTAAATCAAAACTTGGAATATCTCGCGATAACTAGAAATAACATTTTGGGTAAATGCTTATTATGCTTGCCAGCGCAAACTATGCATACAATTATATTGGACCGTTGCGACTATCTTCAGGACACTCACCTTTCAATGGTAAATAGATTGTTGTTTACTTTTTTTCACTCTTCACTTTTCGCTTTTCGATCGGAATGATATATCGATATTGTCACGTACATACACAGGCACTAAAGGAGCTTGAAAATTTGAACCATCTCGCGATAAACGAATGTATCGGTATAACTAAACACACATTGGAAGTTGTCGGTCAGCATTGTAAAAGTTTAAGAACATTGGAGCTCGACGGAGACTTTCCCTCCGCACAAACGGCGGATATGTTGTATTTAATTCACCTTGTCAATCTGCAAGTTTTAAAAATCACGTACAATCCTAAGATATCGGACGATTTCCTTACCGATTTAGTACAACATTGTCAGCAGCTTACCAACGTAGACATTACAGGTAAATTACAATTGTGTGTGTGTGTGTATATACATATATATATATATAGATTTGCCACTTTTTAAATCATATTTTAAAATTATCCTTCCATATCCAACAGGTTGCTCCAACGTGAGCGATGTCGGATTAACGGCTATTGCTACGTTAGTAAGACTAGAAAAATTAATCGTCAGTTATATGCATCAAATTACTGACGATGGCTTGAAAAACGTGTGTGGCTTAAAAGAATTGGAGTGCCGAAGATGTCTATTTAGCGATCGGGGCATGACAACGCTCATCCAATCCTCGCCCGAATTACAATTGTTAGATCTTTCCGGATGTAGGAATATTAAGGACCCCACTCTTGAGGTGGCTAAAGACGTTTGTAACAGTCGAACTAATAACGTCATGTTGAAGATGATCGTTGGGGGAACAGCAATTCTCACTAAGAAAGAAATAGGTCAAGAGAGACTGCCTCCGCTATTGCATATAGTTCACGTCGATTTGTCTGATATTGGTAGCGTGTCTAATACGTGTCTCGTGGATGAGCTGGATTCTTGGTACGATGGAGATTCAGATTATACAGAATATTCCGATTACATAGAATATTCAGATTATACGGACTATTCGGAAGATGATATATACTGTAGAGAACCTGATGAATTAGATCATTATTCCGATTATTAACACTCGTCTATATCACAATTTTCTACGATTCTAACCGATTTTTTTCTACGATTAGTCTTACCGTCATTGAGGTTCCTAAGATTTCGTATGTCTTGTCACATGCTGTCCTATATTACATGACCATTGACTTTAGAGATACTTATTCCCACGAATATCATAATGCTACAATCAAACAATTACATGAATACACACGCGCGCACATCCACACCCACTCACACGTACATGTAGCCACGATAAACATGTATATATTTATTATATTAAGTATTAATAAAGTGCAATAAAATAAAGCAAACGTAAGTTCATCTTCATCTACCATAAATTCGTACCAGTCTGTGATCATACATACCTGCTTTATCTGTTCTATCAGAGAAGTCTGTTTTATCGTTCCATTTTCTCCACTCTCTTGATATATCATCATTATCCGCACTTGGGTTTTTTAGATATCTAGCGTAGAATTACAACATTGATGATTTTATTGTATTTATAATTAATAACGTTTAGACAATGAATCAATACAACTGCAATTATTATGCACATATATGCAACAAGGAATGTGCACATATTTTAATAAGTGCTAGGAATTACGAACTTTGCGCAAAATTATGAATCATCGCTTGATAAAATTGCTAAATTATATTGGCATTTCCATACATTTTACGACACGATCTTTTCGCGCGGATATCTTTCAATCGTGTGTATTGTCTTCCTATGGTAGATAATGGAAACCATTTTACAACAATGTATGCATTACATGCGTTTGTCTTTACTATTATTGTGTTGCCGTTGATCGCGATATAAACGTAATATGACTTTAATTCTTGAGTGTCTTACGCTCTCATACATATACACACATGGAGAAGTATCTCACGGCATATATATACACACACAAGTTATATATACTCTCTCTCTCTCTCTCGCACGCGCGCGCGTGTGTGTGTACACATACAGACACTCGTAATACTTCAATCCGGTGATTAATTTTAAGTCAACTTGTGACTTAGACTTAGACAGTTATTACATGCGATATGAGACTAACTTGTAGATTACATCTGCAAAATATATTCAGCACAAGACATTTCAACGAACGATAAATCGGTACCATCATAATACTATTCGCAATCTATTCGTATTTCCCACAATGATCCTATTGCATTGTTTATGCATTTTCACTGCTGAAATATGTCCCGTTTGTCAACTTTTATATCAATAATAATGTAATCATTGATTAAGCGTTGCATGATAAAATTTCTGTTTAAATTACCGGAAAATTGCAGCAATTTACATTTAATGAAGCATACTGATAAAGATGAGACAATGAAATAAAGAGAACTATTAGCATTTAATTTTGCAAATATTCGTGAATTTCATGTTGACCATAAAATGGCAAGATGTTTCTCAAAATACATTTATAAAAATTGCACAATAAGATTTGACATGCAATTGGATGCGCAGAAGGTCAATTTTTTTGTTACAGTTGAATCATGTGTACACACACGTACGCACGCACACACACGCACACATATGTATATTTTATTTTCATTATTCATCAACAAAATGAAAAGGTGAGATACTTCGCTCTATTACTATCATGCATTTTATAATTTTAAATTAATATAAAATACCGATAATAAATCCAGTCTTTATCGGAGATTTAGCACTAGGAAGGAATCGAAAATATCACCCACTGTATGCACGTATACTTTGCAGCAAAAAAATTTGTAATGAAATATTCTAAATCCTATCGAGTATGTAAATAGCTCAAATCGTGTTACAAAGTATTTCATCATTCGTAATGAAAATCGCGATTATGTGAAAAATCAGATAAGTTTCTTTCTACTTTGTACGTTTGCCAATGTACTGAAAGATTGATTATTATGCGATGACAGAATTGATCTTTTTTACATCTCAAATGTATACAAGAGTCTAATAAATGTAAGTTGATACATTAATGTTGATAAATTCGCAAGCGAGTTAATTCCAAGGACTTTCGAATTATATTATCAAAATATTTTCTCTAGGTTGCCTCTTTTTAAAATGATCACTACAATGTAAAAAACGCGCGCGCGAACGCGCGTATGTATGGGGCACGCACACACGCGCACGTGTATGAATGAGTGAGTGAAAATAAAGATTGCAACCGTGTTTAATCAAGTCATGCATCGATATAAAAACAACGGTTTAACGTGATCAAGAATGAAATTTTTGATCGTGTAAATAACGTTTCTATGGATGTCAGGTACAAATCTTATACAAGTAACTCGATCTAATTAATTTTTTCAAACGACGTTCGTAAGTTTAATGCTCATTCGCGCATCCTAATATCATATCACGGGGAACATAATTTGCCCATGAATCTAATAATAAACTTATATTGCAATTTGTTATCTTACATACTTTCAACAGAAGCATAAGACGAACACGTAAAGTGAATCTTACGAAATTAATATTTGGCACAGTGGCGTGCTGCGTACAAATTACTTGGACGAGCAAAGTCCGAGCGAAACGTGACTGATCCGACCAGCAAGAATCAATTCGCAAGACAAGTACATAAGTTCACTTATACATCACGGTGATACTTGACAGATTATTATTACACATATTACAACACGTAGTCGTTTCTCCCTGTAAAACCAAGAAAGTAGCCGAGATACATGACAACGTGGTATCAATTGGATTCCTTACGACTGCCTTTGTAACTAAATCCTCTCCAGTAATCATTCGCGTAATGCTCAAGAGTGAACAGCGATACCGCGTGTTGATCTGATCTACGGTCCACAGATCTGGCACATCTACCAAAAGTATTGGTAGGTCTATATTAATTTTGTAAAAAAGATATCGCGCGCGCGCGATAGGAAAGAAGACGTAAGGGATATACGCCACCGTCTGGCCGAATGAAAACCTAAATGAACCGAGACGTAACTTAGGAGTACTGAACGCGAATATACGTAGTCAAGTATGTAAGAGTTACATTTATTCAAGACTGCACAGTCGACAAATGCGTTGGCGTAGACGGTTGCAGGTTCAGCGTGCGACACACCCATCCAGCGAGGTCTACGTTCTCCGACTCGGCTTTCTTTATCCACTCGTGATTCTAAAACACACATTGGATGACGTTTCTCCTTCCGTCAAGCTGTTTTCCAACCGTCAGACGTTTTTATACGAGAAACAGAGGGACATACCGTCAACGTTTTCAAGTCTGCCCTGTCGTTTGGGTTTCTCTTTAAACACCGATCGGTGAAATCTATAAAAGCGTTGCTGAATAATCCGGATGGCAGTCTCGGCGGTGGTTCATTGACTATCAGTTCCAAAAGTTCGAATACCGCCAAGGGCTTGGGAGCGTGCGTGCCTACGCGATAAAAAATCGCATCGATTAACATTCGAAAACACACAACAATGACGATGCGACAATGCATCGTAAATCGAGTGAGTACTAACAACCTTTCGTTGACGGCGTGGACTCGTTGACTTGACGGTCAGCCGGATTCTCCCCGGCGTGTTGCACCCATTCTGAACCAAATATCGAGGCTAGAAGCTTATCATCCGGTGGTGGTATAGGATACATTCCAATTGCCATTTCCACGAGTGACAGTCCAAGCGACCAAATATCGCTCTGCACCGAGTAATGCGATCCCTGGAGTCTTTCTGGCTGTAAAAAAAAAAGAAAAAAAAAAAAAAAAAAAAAAAGAAACGCCCGATATTAAAACCGCGACGCGCAATAACGAGCATACACCCATGCCGTGGCTTACCGACATGTAACTTCGTGTGCCGACGAACGAATGAGCCATCGAATCAATCAGTTGTCCAGAAACGCCAAAGTCGCAGAGTTTGATCTCGCCCGCGCTATTCACCAAGATGTTGCTTGGTTTTACGTCCCGGTGCATTATGGCATGCTTATCTCGCAAGTAGGTTAAACCTTTTAAAACCTGTAAAGGAGAAACGATAGTTTATCGCAAACAAGCGAACAAAGTATACAAAGCTAGTATATATTCTCGGACAAGTTGGTAATGAGATGATCTAACGTGGATTGTCATTTCGCGAATCGTCATCGAGGAGGAGGAGGAGGAGGAGGAGGAGGGGGCGAAGAAGAAGAGGAAGAAAAGAAGAAGAAAAAGAAGAAGAAGAAGAGAAAGAGAGGTATATTTCTTTTTCCTTTTTTTTGCACCAAGTATCATCAAGTCTCGACATTGAAAATGTTTATCGCGTTAAAGAAATGCAGAGCACTTTGAAGGCGCAGCAAACGGCACAGCAGCCGACTCGCGTATCTTCTATACCGCATCAATCGAATCGCGCGTCCACCATACACCTGCACAAGAGGAAGTTGACCGAACAGGAGATACAAGAGCTGCATCAGGAATTGGAGACCGTCGACCACGTAATAGCTTTGGAGACTTTGTACGAAAAATTAGGCACGAACGCGGAAACGGGCCTGACAAGGGAGCAGGCGCGCAAAATCATGGAACGAGATGGACCGAACGCAATGTCACCGCCCAAGGTCACGCCGGAATACATCAAATTTCTCAAGTGCATGTTCCACGGATTCGCCTCGTTGCTCTGGGTCTGCGCGATTCTATGCTTCGTCCTGTACGGCGTCACTCATTTGATGCACGAGATCGACACTGGCATCGCATGGCTAGGCATAATCATCGTTTCGATATGCATCACCTCGGGGGTATTTGCGTACATACAGGAGAGCAAGAATATCAAGGTGATGGAGTCCTTCGAGAAGATGGTGCCCACCTTTGCCACCGTGATCCGTGACGGGGTGAAACTGCGCCTCGGCACGGAGGAGCTGGTTCTGGGCGACCTGGTGGAAATACGTATGGGCGACAAGATTCCGGCCGACATCAGGATAACCGAGTGCCGCGGGCTCAGGGTCGAGAACTCGAGCATCACCGGCGAGAGCGAGCCGGTGGCGCGCACCGATTATCCCACCGACAGAAATCCCCTCGAGTCCGCCAACGTGGCCTTCTCCACGTCGTTCGCGGTGGCGGGTGACGGCAAAGGGATCGTGATCGCCACGGGCGATCGCACCATGATAGGCCGTCTGGCCGGTCTCACGTCGCAGCTCATCAAGATCGAGACGCCAATCGCTAAGGAGATCAGGCATTTCGTCGAGATCATCACGATCGTGGCGGTTCTGTGCGGCCTGGGGTTTTTCGGCCTGTCGCTGCTGCTCGAACCGAATCTCGTGCGAGCGTTTACCTATCTGCTCGGCATAGTTATCGCCAATGTGCCCGAGGTGCTGCTGGTGACCGTGACGACAGTCTTGACGCTGACCGCCCAGAAGATGGCGAGTAAGAACTGCCTGGTAAAGAATCTGGAGGCGGTTGAGACTCTAGGCTCGACGTCGGCCATCTGCTCCGACAAGACGGGCACGCTCACGCAGAACAAGATGTCCGTGTCTAATTTGTGGTTCGGCCACACCAGGTACAACTTTCCGCCGGGCGAGAGAATTGGCGTCGAGAGGGATCTGCTGCTGGAGAAGCCGGCTTTCGGCGTCATGTTACGTGCCGCTACTCTCTGTCTGCGTGCCGAGTTTACCGCCGAATCCTTCATGCTGGCGCCCATCGAGGAGCGCGAGATCATCGGTGACGCGTCCGAGACCGGTATCCTCAAGTTTTGCGAGCACGTCCATCCGACGCAGAGGTACCGCGAGGCTCATTCGAAGGTCGCCGAGATCCCCTTCAGCTCGACGACCAAGTATCAGATGTCGATACACCGGGACGCCTACGGTTATACGATGATATTGAAAGGCGCCCCGGAGGTGATCTTGGACACGTGCGCGACGATCCTGACGGCGGACGGAGAGACGAGAGAGATGGCCGCCAACGATTACGCGATATCCCGTCGAGCCTGCACCGAGTTGGGTTACCTCGGCGAGCGCGTTCTAGCTTACTGCGACTTGCATCTGCCCGCCAGCGTCTACGGGCCGACTTACAAGTTCGACACCGACTCGCCCGCGTCCTACAACTTTCCCGTCAAGGGATACAGATTTGTCGGGCTGATAAGTCTGCAGGATCCCCCGAGGCCCGGCGTGCCCGAGGCGGTGCATAAATGCCGCACCGCCGGTATCAAGGTGATCATGGTGACGGGTGATCATCCGGTGACGGCGATGGCGATCGCCAAGAAAGTTGGTATCATAAGCGAAGGCCACGAGACTCGTTACGAGCGAGTGGTCCTGCAAGACAGGTCTTACTCGCAAGTGACCGACTCGCAACAAGCGGTCACCCCGCCGGACACCGCCGCCGCGATCGTCATCACCGGTGCCGAATTGAGGAACATGGATGCGAGCGAGCTCGACAACGTTATACGCCGTTACGAGGAGATCGTGTTCGCGAGGACGTCGCCGCAGCAAAAGCTGTTAATCGTGGAGAGCTGTCAACGGCTGGGAGAGATCGTCGCGGTCACCGGCGACGGTGTCAACGATTCACCGGCGTTGCGGAAGGCCGACATAGGAGTAGCGATGGGGATCGCCGGTTCCGACGTTGCCAAGAACGCCGCGGATATGATACTCATGGACGACAATTTTGCGTCGATCGTCACGGGTGTCGAGGAGGGCCGCCTGATATTCGACAACTTGAAGAAATCGATCGCGTACACGTTAACGTCGAGCGTGCCGGAGATGTTGCCGATGTTGAGCGGCCTGTTACTCGCGATTCCCCTACCGTTGGTCATCGAACTGGTCATCTGCATAGACGTCGGCACCGACCTCGTTCCCGCGATCGCTCTCGCCTACGAGAAGCCCGAGTCCGATATAATGCGCCGGGCGCCGAGAAACCCTCAGTATGACAAACTGGTCAACAAGCGTCTGATATCCATCACCTACGGCCAGATAGGAATGACGCAGTCGTTGGCCGGATTTTACACTTACTTCATGGTACTTATGATGAACGGCTTTATGCCCGATCGTCTGTTGGGATTGCGAATAGAATGGGAGAACCCATCCATCAACGATCTACAAGATTCCTGGGGCCAAACGTGGACTTACGAAAATCGAATGAATCTCTTGATGGAGGCGCAAAGTGGATACTTCCTTTCTATCGTTATAACGCAAATGATAGATCTGATCATGTGCAAGACCAGGCGCAATTCCATCTTTCAACAAGGAATGAGCAACTGGTTTGTCAACTTTTCCTTCGTTTTCGAAGTTATTCTAACGGGGATCTTGCTCTATGTTCCAGGCACGGAATACGTATTCAAGACCATGCCACTGATGGCCTATTGGTACTGGCCTTGCCTGCCGCTCGGTGCATTTCTTTGGATCTACGACGAATTGAGACGTCTGTGTATTCGTCTCTTTCCAGGTGGAATCATGGAAAGAGAAACGTATTATTGACATCCTTCTTTCCATTGCGATTCCACAGGGAAGACGCGAATGGTTACTCGCAGATAACTGTCCGTTCGTTAAATAATTTACATACTCGTTAACTATCCGTTACGCGCGAGTCTCACGTCTCGAGCGTGTTATCATTCACGATTAGACGATCAGCATTTACTGTTACAAGACTACAGTATTTCTTATTATTATTATTATTACTTAGTTGGAAGAGTACGTGTCATTACGATAGAATTTATCCTACGTGCGAGATCCTCTTTCTCTCTTTATTTATATCAATAATAAAAAAATCTGACTTACAGCACACGTGATTGTACTTATCATGGATTCTGGAATTCGTCCTGCTCTTTTCATTATTTGGTCTAACGATCCACCATCCATATATTCCATACATATACAAATTTCTCCTCCACTGAAATAGATAACGTATGTATATTCACATAGCTATGAGGGCCCCCGTGTCCCGAGAAATATTTGAAAATATAAATAGCTGTTAAAAGTGTTTACCTGCAAAAAGCACCATAAAATCCAACTATATGTGCAAAGTTACATTCGTGAAGGACTTTTAATTCTCTAATTATTTGCTTCTTAATGAGTGGCTTCACTTCCAAGCGTATTTGCTGAAAAATAAAAAAAAAATTGCTGGTGCATCGCAAATGTCTATGACTCTGTAAGTATACGACCATTTACCTTCATCGCCATTATAACACCAAATTTTTTATGTTTGACTTTCGAAACAACACCACCATTACCCGAACCCAAGTCACTTAATTTTTCAAAGTCCTCGCCGCAAAGTTCTCCAACTCTTTGTTTCTGTCCCAGAAAGCTCTCTAGTCGTCTCCTTTGTTCCTCGTCCATTTCCAGCTCCTCCAGTCTCTCTTGGAGTGCCGCTATGTTGAATGTATCCCTCATGCCACTGTGAAAAATTATAATCTTAGAATTAAGATCACAAACTTGCAGATAATAATTTTGTAACGGCGTACATACACAGAAACTTTACAAACAGATCAAGAATAAATAGGTTTATGGAGAATTTGGCAACCATTTTCAAATTAATCGGGATCGAATACACACTGAGACAATAGGCCTGTTTTTTAGCTGAACTTGGGAGCTTTCCAGCAAGCGACACAAGTCGACACAGGTATCGTTTTGTCTTTGTTACTCATCGCCAAAAAAGAAAGATAGAACGACGTTTGTGTCGGCTTGTGTCACTTGCTAGAAAGCTCCCCTTGTATAGTAATTTTTTCTCTTTTTCTTTTTATGTTGGAGAAAAAAAAGAGAAAACATGAACTGTGCAAGAAGTTCAGTTAAAGAGAGCAGGCCTAATTTTTACATCAAAGTTGTAGTATAGATGAGGTAGAATTGTCATATGTGAAACATAATGGTTGCTTTCCATTTACATTAAACAAAACTCAGATAATTCTCACTTGTGACGTCATAACTCAGTTAAATGCACGTTCTTTTTACATGCTGGCAAGTGAGATTCAACTGACAATGAGTTTTTATCCACAATCGAGACCATGTGTTTTAATGAATCTAATAGACTCGAACATTAAAAGTGAGGCTATGGACCTGCTATTATTATACGATAGCTTTGTCACCAAAATAAGCAGGTAAATAGAAAAAAATGACATATCTTACCTGAGTGTAAAATACTTGCATAACTCGCATAACTGAGTGACTCAGATCACTTGAGTGTAAATGTAAAGCAACTACTCGAAACTACTTGAAGGATCGTTCGTGGACTTACTCGGGCATCTCTGCAGGTTCCGGGTAGGCAGGTAAAGGTGGAACCGGTGGCGACGGCGATGCTTCTGGTACCGGTTCTATTGACCCAGGTGGTAATGTCAAGTTGAGTTTGTTCTTTGACATTTTGGCCGTTTAAAAGTGTTTAGACGGTGTTAACAAACGTTACGCTACGAGATTATCACTCGACACTCGACACTCGACACTCGACACACAGACCGCACAGACGTGAACTTGCGGATCATGCAAGATTGATCTGTCTCATTCGTGTAGCCTATTTCTTGTTCCTTTCAACGAATAACCAAGACAGATCCGTTATCGGTGGGTGAAATAATTAACCGTGTCCGTCAATATTCCGCAATCACAATGCACGCGCAACGTTCGCGGCGGTACTCATCGTGCGTATTTCTTTTGGCGTGCATTCATAAGCAGAACGTTCGGTCGGCACGGCACTCACTTTGTATATACGTACAGTGACAAGGGCGAACTCGCCAACTGTCAAATCGCAAGTCGACAAATCTTTTCGTTATCTAAAGATTTCATTATTCCGCGAGAGACGTTTCTATTACGTGACAGGCGCAGGGCGCAGGGCGCAGGCACGCGCAAAGTCACACGACAAGAAGGAAATATGTCGCTACGCGCTAACCTAGCGACAAGGGTGTGGAACACTCGCGAAAAGCAAGAAAAGAGGTTATACGAATCTTCGCGGGAACCGTAAAGGAGCGGATGCATCTAACATCACAGTAGTCCCAGTACTCCAGTACTCACCGAGCGCGAGCCGCGAGCAGCTGAGCACCAATCGAACGGGATTGGTTCATACTTATTGATTTAAACGATTCAGCAAATCACGTTCGATCGTTACCTTACTGCTCAACATGAGGTCTGTTTATGTTGCTTGCACTTTTTGCGCTAATAACCGATGGTTGGAGGATTCACATTGCGCGATTCCGATGTTCGACGTACGACGATCCGACATCCAATAACAGAATTTATTACTATATCGGACGCAGTGTGAATCCTCCATTAAAATTAGCAGAATTGACCAATAAAAATGAATCCACCCTGCTTTCTATTGGTCAATCCTGCTGTGGTTGGTGAAATTGGCCCTAAGAATCTTCACTCTCTCTTTCTCTCCTTTCTCTCTCTCCAACGTCCAACGAATCTACTTATCTCGTTTTAAGTGCAAAAACTTTTAGGGATTTCGAGCAACACGCACAAACCTATGAGTAAGGGCCGGTCTCACAGTCTCCGATTAACGTGATTCTCCGATTAAACTCACTCTGCATCTCTTTCTAACTATCCCCCTAGAAAGAGACGAAGAGTGAGTTTAATCGGAAAATCACGTTAATCGGAGACTGTGAGACCGGCCCTAATGCATCGTCGTTCGGTGTCGTGCGTGGCTAAGTTCATTTGCAGTAAAATGCTGTAGCAGCAAGCAGCAGTTTAGTATGTACGTTATAGCATATTCGATTTGCTGACTCGACCCGACTCCGAGTCGAAAAAGTACGATTTGAAACACGATGTCTGCAAAAATCGTACTTTTGATCGTACTTTTTCGACTCGGAGTCGGGTCGAGTTAGCAAATCGAATACGCTATAAAAAGTTTTTGCACTTTCCAAGATTCTAAAGTGCAAAAAGTGTAAGCAACGCGAACAGACTTGTTGCTACTTGATCAACGTCATAAAAATAATTCAAATATATTTGTGATTACTGATTTACTGCGTACTTGATTACAGATCACAGGTTTTAGGTTTCCAGTTTCCAGTTCGATATGACATATACCTATGCTGTCATTTGTTCCAACTGTCCCAAGGCGATCAAAGCAAATAAGTATCTCTATTTTCGAAGGGAGTAGAGGTGAAAGAAAATAAACTAGGTTGTGACTTGTAAACGAGAGAGAATTTATATTAAACAATCACGTAGTGATATATCTCTGTTTGAATGGATGATGGATGATACGTGTAAAGTTAAAGCAGTGTTTAGATATTGCATTGGTAGTTGTTTTTTGCTGTAAAAGAGATTTACTTTTGCACACATGTGCTCACTGCTCATACACGTATGTATGTGTGCATATGTAAAATGTAAATAAGAAACCGTAATTAATGAATATTTGTTTCTTCGAGAGACAGGCAGCATGGAAGAAAAACAAGTTCTTATTCACCGAGAAATGACTATGTAGTGTATGTACAGACCGCACATCACACATCGCACATCGCCTCATCTCATGACACCACATGACAATGTATGCAGAATGCTGATGCCATGTATGTGCGGTATGTGAATGCTATAGCATATATTTATGTACTATATACTATATAGTATATAACATTATAGATTTATAGAATATCCCTCAGGTTCCTCCAGGTTCCTTAGATTCGTCAGGTTAGCGGGTTTAGCACCGGCTCGCCCGGTTATCGCCTCGGTGGCGTTTAGCGTTTAGCGCGTGATCGTGGATGTCGCCACTGCTCGATGTACATACATACAATACATACCGCGGAGCGGAGAGCGGAGAGCGGACGCAAACGGCGCGGACCGCGGACGCGGACGTGCCACGAGACGAGAGTCTACCGTCGACCGTCGACCGTCGACCATCAATGTGCATCGTGCAGTACGTGCTGACTGCTGTGCACTGTGCAGTTGTGTGCGGTTGAACCGGATTGATCGAATGCAGGCAGGGAATGGTCAACGGTGGATCCGCCGCGTCGCCGTGGTGCTGGTGAGTCGCATCGCGATCCAGTCGAAATAGGTCGACTGGCGACTGGGCCGATTGGGTGTCGTGTGAACGATGGAACTCCGCCGACGTTTCCGTGGCGCGTGAGCGTCACGCCCGAAGCTCGAGAGAGAAGCCTCCCCATCCCCATCTCTTCTATCGTCCACCCTTCACCTTCCTCCCTCGTCGTGTGTGTTTTTGTGCGATGTGAAGTGTGAGGGCGAGCCATAAAAAGGAAAAGAGATCTTACGAAAGCGCGCTACGGAGTACGGAGTACCGGAGTACGGGGAGCGCTGAGCGCTGAGCGCTACGAGAGCGCAGTCTCGACGGCTCGACGCACGACGTGCCTCGACGTATCGTCAGACGTCAGATCGTCACACGATTGTATGTACATACGCAGCGTGACGCAGCCCTTCATATATGCAAGTACGTACGCGTAGCACACACATCTCTCTACCACTCTCTACACACATGACGTGACGTGACGTGACGTGACGTGGGTGTGTAGATGCATTATATTATATATAGATGCAGATTCACTCTTGTACGGTGTACGCATTGATATTTGAGTGTCTTGTATATGGCCACACGAGTAGGCTTTATTTATACACACGTCAAATTCGGATATACCTATTACGTGTCGTCGTTGAGAATTCGGTATATCGTGTACCATGCCAGCAGCGCGTACGTATATATATATATATATATATGTACATACATACCCTGTCTGTGTGTATGTGTGTGTGTATATTACAAATTATATATATTTCAAAACATGCCTGAATGTTTGTTTAATAATCATGATAATAATATTAATAATAATTCATCAGAATTGATTTTTTACGAAAATGTATCGAGGCAGTGATAATTTTCGAATTATAATCTAAAATAGAAAGCTTTTCGCAAACCAGAGTTATATTGTATAGTGTTCCACACATTTTATTCTTTTTACAAGATTATTTTTGAAAGTAATAGTATTGTCCAAAATAGTGTATCGAATCAAAAGTATTTTGTTTGGAGGGGGACATCGTATTGTTAGTATCATAGTGTAACTTTGTTCTAGAATTCTAGATGGAGTCGCTTGCCAGATATGAGTCACTCCTATCTTTTTAAATGGAATCATATGATTTTCCTGATCGATATACCTTTTTTAGTTATTCTGCTTATAAAAATAAAATATGATATATTGCCTGAAATATTCATTACTTTACCTACTATATATTGAGACTTGGTTGTGATAGGTACACATATAAAAATATATTCTATTAAAAGAGCGCAATCGTGTACGTATATATATATATATGTATGTATATATTGTACTGTGGAAAAATTGAATCATCGACTAATTTATCTTATTATTCTATAACAATATTACAATCAAGGATCATTGAAAAGTGATTATTTTAGGAAATATTTCACATTTTATTGCAATATAAACCATTCGACATATTTTGTTAGATTAAATCAATTTTTCCACGGTATTGATATAACACTGACAGTTGAATGCATTAAATTATAATCGAAACTATAAATTTTGGCATGTTTTTTTATTTATTCTATTTTTTTTTTGTTATAATTTGCTTTCTTTATATTTTTCTTATTATTAATACGTAGAACAAAGTTTGATCTTTTTTCCTCACGTTTACTTGTATCTTCTAACAAATATTTTTCTCCCAGAATAATCTGATAACCAGAGATATAGCACTGAGAATTTGAAATAATATAAAGCGTCGAGAGCTTCAAACAAACACGCCGGGCTATCCTACAGTACGTTTTAATGTAATATACAGTGGTATATTGAGGGTATAGTGACGCACAATGAACATATTTAATACTATAGCCGAGTTGGTTGATTCATTCTCAAGATATAAACCATTGGTAATAAAAACGCTTTGTCATGTATGATAATAATATACGACAAGATATTTTCATTGTCAATCGTTAATTAACTGTGTTAGTCGTTCTTTTCTCTTAAGAAATGAAAATAATAAATTAATGAAACGCTTCCATACACACAAGATACCATAATATTTGATACATTTTTTTTTTAATTTCTATGAAAAAACATTTTCTCAAAAATATTTTTTCAAGTAAATCTTCCTTTCGGTACAACCCGCCCCCTTTCCCCGGCCCACTCCCAGCGTGAGCTTTGACCTCTCTCAGATTCCAAGACAAGTTTTTTGCAACTTTTAACTGTAAATTTCTCAAAATTGTAACGTGATGAAATTTGGGGAGAATGCTAACGGGACCCCCTATTCAGCGCCCAACAAACTACCGGAAACGACTAGTTTCGTTCTTGTTCGCTCGAAAAAAAATTTTTTTATTGAACAATGTCATTAATGCAACTATATGTATATATTTAGCAAATAGAAACAAATTCCAAACTGTACTCGAGAACATATAGTTTTTCGAGTACATTTTTAGATTGTTCCCTCTCTTATCGTCATCGCTCATCGCACACTGGAATGAAAGAACAAACAGTTCACAATTAGGAGCTATTTATAAGCTTACTTCCTCCGGAAATCTATGGGAAAGTTTTCCAATTTTTCCTTGGCGAAATGTTGAGCGAATGCACGCGACGGGCTACAAAGTTATCAGACCGTAAGTTCAACGAACTGGAAAAGAACATCGCAGGCTATCGGCACCTTCGATGCGGGGGGTATTACAGTTGTTCGCAAAGACGTGCCGCGAATAAGCAGCGAGAGTCATAGCATCTCGATGGAATCGATAATGAGATGGATGATTCGCTTACGCTGGCGCTGACACGCTTTTCGTTAAGAGCACCCTGTAAATATAGTGTTTATTTCGCCGTTTCTTTTTCTCTTTTTATTTATTTCACTTCTTTTATATAGCTCTTTCTCTCAATCTTTCATAACGTGTGTAATGTGTATCGATACACATAGATAATAACACGAGGCAAACACTTTTAGAAAACAGAGACAAACGTTTAATCCTTTTCACATTTAATTATTACCCTAGAGCTCTGTGTTTTTAACATGTCGGAAACTTTTAGAATTTTTAGAAAAATTCTGAAAATATGGAAATTTTATTGATCATATTATATTGAATTTTTTAATGAAACAAATAGCCCTGTCAAAATAAAAAAATTAAGTGAAAACACTTTTTGTTTTGCAGATAATGACGAACTGATGAGCTACTGCGAAACTGAAAGCAAACGATCAAGACGATGGATCAGATCGGCAAGAAGCAAGCGGCCAACTCACCGGAGGTGGCGTTGGCCAGCGAGATTTTCGACCAGTTTTGCAACGCCGCTACGTTGAAATCTATTCTTAGCTACTACAGACAACTGTGCGAATTGCTGAAAATCCGACCGAACGCCATTAATCAGTTTTATCCAAAGTTGAAAACAAAACTGCGATCGTGGAAGGCGCAAGCTCTATGGAAGAAATTCGATCAGCGAGCAAATCACAAGTGTTATAATCGTGGCAAAGTATGCCCGAACACGAGGGTAAGTTTATTTATTAGTTTTTACCTGCCATGAGTTATTTCCTATGCTATCAATGAAGGAAATTTTTCAAGTAAGATACATTTCTTAGGTTTTGATTATCGGCGGTGGCCCATGTGGTCTGCGCACAGCTATAGAAGCGCAATTATTGGGAGCCAAAGTCGTTGTGGTGGAGAAAAGAGACCGAATGTCCCGGAACAATGTTTTACATCTATGGCCTTTCGTCATTCAGGATCTACGTGGCTTAGGAGCGAAGAAATTTTTCGGCAAGTTTTGCGCCGGTTCTATAGATCACATCAGCATTCGACAGCTGCAGTGTATTTTGCTAAAGGTTGCTCTGATTCTTGGTGTCGAGTTCCACGAGAATGTAAGCTTCGATTCTTTGATTCAACCACCGGATAACCAGGAAGATGGCAGTAAGTAATAATAATTGACGAGCAGATGTTTTAAAATTTCTTTATTTTTTTTCACACTTTGTAACTACTCATTTTTAATGAATTACTTCTTTGCAGAATTTGTTTCTTACTAATGTCTTTTTTTTTATTTAATATATTTTCATCAGAGATCGGTTGGAGAGCGAAGACTTCACCAGCTGATCATCCTGTCTCCCAATACGAATTCGATGTGCTAATTGGAGCTGATGGCAAGAGAAATACCTTGGAAGGTTTCAAACGAAAGGAATTTCGAGGAAAACTAGCCATCGCAATCACGGCAAATTTTATAAACAAACGGACCGAGGCAGAGGCTCGTGTAGAAGAGATCAGCGGTGTCGCCTTTATCTTTAATCAAAAGTTCTTCAAAGAATTGTACCAAGAAACGGGTATCGACTTGGAAAATATCGTGTATTATAAAGATGATACGCATTATTTCGTTATGACTGCCAAGAAACATAGTTTAATCGACAAGGGAGTTATTCTGCGGGTAATAATGCAAAACTTTACGAACCATAAAATATATCTAATTATTTTTCAGTATGATAAAGTGAAAATTATTATTTATTTCTAGGATCATGCTGACACTGCAAAACTACTCGCAAAAGAAAATGTGGATCGTGAAGCGTTGATGTTATACGCGCGAGAAGCGGCAGAATTTTCGACGGAATATCAAATGATGGATATGGAATTTGCGGTAAATCATTATGGTCAACCGGACGTAGCCATGTTCGACTTTACTTCGATGTACGCGGCAGAAAATGCAAGTCGCGTATTGGAGCGTCACGGTCATAGACTGCTCATGATCCTCGTAGGCGATAGCCTTTTGGAGGTAAATACCACGTACTTTTCACATTATCATTCGAAATTACGTAAAATCTTTACAGGGATTTACAGTATTTAAATCCAGATTAAGTTTTCTAAACATATAGATTATTAAGAGAGGAAATTTCAAAAATTACATGTGTATAATAAAAGAATAGTGGATAGATTTTATTTATTGTTCTTTCAGCGTTTCTTTGATTTCTTTACCATTAGATTTCGATTAGCATTTCTAGCGTTTCTAACGTTTCTAATTTGATCTTCAATGAAAAACTAAAACTTATTGTAGCCATTTTGGCCTACCGGCTCTGGTTGCGCAAGAGGATTCTTGAGCTCTCTGGATGCGGGCTGGGCAATCAAAGGTTGGGGTGCTTCGTTGTTACCGTTGGAAGTAATTGCAGAGCGTGAATCCATATACAGACTGTTGGGACAGACGACACCAGAGAACTTGAATAGAGATTACGCCGCATATACCTTGGATCCTCACACTAGGTAAGATATCAATTATCATTATAAAATTGAATTGGATAAATTAGCTAAGAATTAGCCTCAAATATCTAAAAGGCGTGAAAATCGTATCTTGTCTACAAAAATATAACTATCCGATTGTTTATTTGGATTAAAAGAAAGATTTTTATCTCTCAAGTGTCTTCAAGTATTTCTTTTGCTTTGTCCCACCAAATAATTTAGAAATAATTAAATATTTTTTACTTTTATCTTTTTTTTTTTTCAAGGTATCCGAATCTTAATGTACGTTCTGTAACTCCGATACAAGTGCGTAGTCTTCTTGACACGGATGATCCTGAAAGCATCAAACAACCTGCGATACAGTCTGAAATTGATATTCCAAAGAAACGAAAACGTCGCGGTGAGTTCATTAATAATATTAAAGATGGATTATTGAAATCTTGAGCTCTTAAATAATTGGAATCTGTAATTCTGATGTTTTTTTTTTACTTTTAAATTACTATTTGATCTTTAATACGATTATTTTTATAAAAATAAACACATTTTTATGTAGATCTGAGAGCTGACACTCAAGTTCATCCAGACACGTTGCTTCGCTGGCTACAAAAGCAAGTTGCATTGTACGATAAAGTTCACATCGAAGATATGGGTGCCTCTTTTAAAGATGGTTTAGCTATTTGTGCAATTGTTCATAGATACCGTCCAGATTTAATTGATTTTTATAGCTTAAACGCGAAAGATGCAGTAAAGAACAATCAACTCGCCTTTGATACATTGGATAAGGAATTGAACATACCACCGGTAAGCATATTGTGTTTTTTATTTTTTCACTCCGACATCACTAATCGTGGATATATATATTTTTTATTTATTTTTAATGTATAAACTTTGTATCTTTAGAATTATTTATTATTGCCTAATGATATGTTGTGGATATGTATTCAGTTCAATCAAATTATTTATATATGTCCTATGATTTTTGGGTAGAATAATAAGTGGAGAAAAAATATAAGAATTACATATTAGCTTATTCAGTGAACTGTTAGTATATCTTCTTACTTTAAATAACAAATAGATATTATGTCATCACAAAAAGTGCATACAACATATGTAAATCTATATATTCTATCTGTACTTAGATATAATAAGAGAAAAATAATTATGCTTACAGATAATGACAGGAGAAGAAATGGTTCAATGCGATGTTCCTGATACACTTGCCATGTTTTCTTACTTAACGCAAATATATGAAGTTTTTAGAGGCGAGATTCCATACATCAAACATCCGAAATTAGTAAGTAACTAAAAACAGAGGATTTGTTTACTAGTCTTTAGAGTCTCTTTTACTTCAAAGTACACTAGCATCAGTTAATTATTATTATTATTACTTCTCTAAAAAGTCCCAGAGGATATGAATATCTTTGCGCGAAAATAATCATTAATTTCAGCGCCATTTATTGCAACAGGAACCAGAAGCGGAGGAATGCACCGCGCATCCAAAGCAACTGAAACAATGGACATCTGAGGAAAAGACTACGAAAGCACGGCACTCACGCTCACGGCATGCTAATGAAAATGTGCACTCTTACGTGGACAAAAAGGATAATACGGTTGGCCGGCGTTCTCGAAAGAGGCGAAGTACCGAGAAAGTGGGCGCTACGATGGTAAGCAGAATGAATTGTCTGCCTATTTACAGTTTACAATGACCAATGCTTGTCTAAAATACAGACAAATGCAATGGCAATTTCGCATAAGACGTTAAAAATTTTATAGAAAATCAAAGTTGAATTTTTTGTAGTGAATTTAATTAAACCTAACATAGCCACGCGTAATTATTGACTTTTAGAAATACTGAAATGCTTATATATATCTTATGTAGTCACGATGGCAGAAGATCGAAGCTGTTATGTGTCGCGGGATATTCGTATCATTGTTAATCGTATTTGTTGGACTTACCTTTACCGTACTTCGGGAGGAACCGGACACATACTGAACGCGCGTAATCCACCATAAAGGGAAATAAGTTCAGACTATCGGTTATGTTGTCAAATTTTTTACACAAATCTTTTTGTTGTTAATATAATTGCTACTTTATGAAACCTCGAGTAAGATTTCTTTAAATTTTTAAGAGATCGTGCCAGAAACATTAAATACTATCTTTTATTGTCTTTTAGCGTAAATTATAATACAGCAATAATGTAGTTAATTATGCATAGAATATAGAATTATGCTAGCAGTAGCCTAACAAATCGAACAGGCCAATTTTCTTTTGCGTTTTATTCTTTACATATACTTAAATACAGTTTTATAATTTCTTTTTATTTTTATACATTTTTATCCTAATTTGCATTTTATTTGCAAAATGCAATTTAAATCGCTTAAGAAGTCATCTATTTCGAAATGAGAACATTCAAGATTTACAGTTCCAAAGAGCTCTGCTCGCATGTATCATCCCATCGCTGCTTCATGCTTTCTCGCATAATTTGGTTTACAATAATTTGCTTTGCTGCAAAGAAACGTGTTTCTCATTGCTTGGGTCGTCGCAAGAAACAGATCAACATTCGCAATTAATTGATCGCGCGACTAATGACAATCGTAAACTCGCAATAAAGGATGAAAGGCAGAAAAAACTCGATGAGATCGAGAAGCATCGAACCGAGCGCATGAAGAAGCGGCAATATTTGCGCAAGATGGCAACCGAGCAGTTCTACAAAAGTATGCAGATGCTGCAAGCCAATGCAAAACGCGAGAAAGATGAGCCCTTTGAGGATTACTCGATTTTTTTATACCGTCAAACTGCACCAGATTTCAAGGATAGAGTAAAAGACTTAGAGCAGAAAATACTTTATCCAGTAAGCTAGAGACTGATGAGTGCAAATGTTTGACTATGGTTTTTTTCTATCTGCTGACGAAAAGCCTGCGTCTTTTGATGTTCAAAATAACAGCGTATTGTTTCTAAAAATACTTGACAAAATAATCAATTTTATTTTACCAGATTTTCTATTTTCGCCTCACTGCATTCATATTAAATCGTGGCATACGCAGGGAAAATATTTACATGGTTAATTTTTTTACGTTATAATTTAGTATGACTGCAATGAAGAAATAAAAGTCTTAATACCTTGATCGTTACTAAACCTGTTTGATAGTTGCAAACATTGTTGACTATTGTTGATTAACATGCTTGTTTAATAAGTTAATTAATAAGATTTTTGAACTTTTTAAATTAATTTTTATACGAGGAACTACACTCTATTTGCGCATGCATCGTCGTGTTTATTATTGCATTTATGAAACTGGCGTCACAGAAGAAAAAAGAAATACTACTAAATAGAAAAGATAAGAATAACAATATTGAGGGTTTATATTTTTTTAACTTAATTCACCTAAATCGTATTAATTGCATTTGAGTGTGAAAAATCAAGTTGAAGTTTGAAATCTCAATTATTTATTTAATTTCAGAATACTGCCTCATTACTATTATATGTATGTTCCACGAAACCCCGTATATTTATATTCAAAATGTACTACTTTGTAAGAAGTTCATAATTTTTGCTCGCATTGTTTGTAATACTTGTACTAATTTTCTATTAATATCACCTGCTTATAAGATATTTCTATTAAGTTGCCAATTATTCCTAGGACAGACAACCTAAAGTACGCATTGGTCACCGAAGAGGTAGCGTAGACGAGGAGTTTTCGGGAAGGATAAAAGATTTTGAAGATAAGCTGAAAGGGACAACATCTTCCGAGAAGAAACCTAGAGATCTTTTACGTGCTATCGGTTTGTACACATTTTTTATTTACATCTAATCCCAGAAAAGCTTTTTGTCTTTATTATGTGTTGCAAATCGAATAATATTATAAAATACATCGGTTTGTATATAGGTAAAATCGAGAAAACTGATTGGAACGTGAAAGAAATCGAAAAGAAGATTGAAGAGAACAAAATGGGCCGCGGCGTTCGTCACGAACGTGTAGAGAAAGTGCCGAAGTGGAGTCGCGAGCAGGTTGGCAAAGAAACGCTCAATAGTGCTGACGGTCTCGCACTTTTTCAGATGTGTATATGTTTCATTCAGTTTTTAGCTCGGCAGATCAAGATGGAGAAGCGAGGCAACGATCAAAGAGATACCTACAGTAAGTACGCTGACATAGACAATACCCTGAAGAATATAGGCAAGAAGATCCGGGAAGGTAGCGCGCTCGGGTACAATAAAGTTTCAGCCATGGCTGAACAATTTTCGAATAAAAATCAGGATGTGGAACCCAAGCTGCAGAAATCGGTAAATACGAGCTTTGCGATCTCTGTAAGGAAATGGTCTACGAATATTAAAAGCGTCTATGGTATATCGGTGTCTATTGTCTTGTATTCCCATCATCTTATAAAGAGAATTTCTACTCAACTACAGGAGAGAAGATATAAATCAGTAATAGGCTTGCATTTTCGAAGAGATTCATAATTTATTTTTACTAACAATTTTACAGGGCATTTTCAGTTGTTTTCAGTAATCAGAATTGTGTTTAATCTTGGTATAACACACGTATCTCAAAATATTCTAAAAAATATGACGCAATATTGTATTTAATCTCTCATTAACAAATTTTAATTTTATGTTTATAATTTTAGTTTGCAGTGTAAATGGATTTCTCAACGTACTAAATTGGGAATGTAAATACATGAATTGTAATATATGGGATAACGTTGGCTTTTTAATTTTTTAAATCTAACTTTTGTAAAATGTGTGCGTGCGTGCGTGTGTGTGTCGTGAAAATGTTGCAAAGTAACACATCTAATTATAAATATAAATATAACATAATAGTTTTTGATAATTCTTTATATTGAAAATGGTGTTAATAATTACTATATCGGATCGTACATATTATTTTTGTGTAGAACACTAAGCCTGCTGTCGTACTACCTGTGCAAGGGGGTTCAGAGATGTGCCATTTTTGCAATAAAAGAGTTTATCTTATGGAAAGACTTAGTGCGGAAGGCAAATTTTTTCACCGCGGCTGCTTTCGATGTGAATATTGTTCCATCTCGTTAAGAATAGGTAATATTCAATTCTCTCTTTATAATATTTTATAAACATCTTGATATTTTATAATATCGCTATTAATGTTTTATAGGAAATCATACATTTGATCGCGAGAAAAACGGAGGACGTTTTTACTGCACGCAACACTTTGGACTATCGGGAACGATGAAAACTAGAGTAGAAAAAAAGAAGATCAGCTTGGTGAATAAAGAAAATGTATCTAATGCCGTGGCTACGTTAAAAACACCAGAAAAGGTATAGAAACTTGTACAATGATGTAGAAATATATGTATAAAACACTGATACACACAAAAAACTTATTAAAATGATATCTTTTTGTAGAATTTTTAAGTAAAATAATAAAAAATGATGAACTTTTATACGAAAATGTATAATATATATTCTTTCAGGCCAAGACATCCTTAGAAGGCATTGTCGGACTCGATTTACTCGATCGTGGTCAAACTCCGGAAAGAATTGAATTTGAAAATCTGGCAGAAATATCAGATCCTGAGGAAGCTCACAGTCAAATGGATGAAGATGAATGGACAGATAGAAATTTTGGTGCTTCTACCGCAGAAATGGGATCCAGTGATGATATTTCGGATATGAGGTAAATATGCACACATACACATAATTATCTATATTCTTTGTACCATATAGCTTCGTAATATTTTAAATTTTATTAATTTTACCTTAGTTATATAACTGATATGAATGAATGTTTAAAATTTAAAATTTTTACTGAAATATATTTATATTTCAATGATTTGTTTATAATACAGAAAATATATATGTACATATTATTTAATATTTTAATTATAAGATTGTTCAAATTATCATATCGTTTGTTTTTTAGTGATTCTGATGAGGATAATGAAGTATTTGAGGAAGCTATAGATCAACCACTAACGACTGAAGGAACTCTCGAGTTAGCCAAGAATTGGACATTGCGTTATTCGCATCCGCATGCTACAATCGGACAATCTGATACTGGCAGCAATGAATATGAAGATTCTAGCGACGAATATACTAGTGAAGGTATCATTTATCATGCATATAAGAGCACGCACGCAGCGTATATGCATTAAAGCTTTTGCGTAAAACTATGTAATATTAACTTTTTTTTGTTTTTTTTTTATTTTGTGTGGCGTTGTGTTTTTCACGAGAATATTCTATCTATTAATTAGAGATAAAAAAAAGAGAGAAAGATAGGTGGAAAAAAACAGAACGTGCGATAATTTTAATAAATTCTTCAACTTATGTTACTTGTCTGTGCTGTAACATGTATCTTGATTTTGTTGTTAGACGATGAAAGTGGCACTGCGACTGAAGACGAAGAAGACGTACGCGCACGAGAGCTCCGGAAGCAGGAAGTGTGGTTGAAGGTGCCACCGCGCAGCTCTGATACCGATACCGGTTCGGAAACAGAGGTGAAGCATTCTCAAGATTCTATAGATCCCGCTATAGTTCAAGAATCATTCATTTCTTTCGAATCTAAAGTAACATCGTCCTCAATGTCCAACATAAACACAAATGATAGCGAGTTATCATCCGACAGAAATGCTCTCGAAGGACTGCTAGAATTCTCCAACGAGACGGCATTAGCTTCTAATGAATTAGCTAGAAGCATACACGGTCAAGACAATATGACTTCCGCTTATAAAAATGGTGCATCTCTCAATGTTATTTCACAAGTTTCTGAAAATGTCATTTGCGCGACCGATTCAATGCCTCTTTTAATGCCAAATAATATTGCCGATAATGTTTTGGATCAAAATGAATCTTTGGTTCTTCTAACAGATATTGCTCTTAATCATTTGACTAAAGAAGATTGCAATTCTGAGTACGAAAGTTTTATGGACGAAAATGTTCGATCATATTTAGACGGATCAGATAACAAAATTGACGACGATTGTTTGCAAAATGATATTCTCGATGTTGACATAAAAAATCTGACATCAAATTCTATTAATTTTAATGTTAATAATTTGAGCACAAATACTCTGATTAAGAATTCATTAGATTTATCTACAAATCATTTAAAAGAAGATTCCGCGAAATACAATTGTTTGGAAGTTGGTTCAGAAGAGGTTGCGAAAATTACACTTTCAGATACTATACCTTGCATTAAAACAAGCAAGGATTCCAAGGTTTCCGATAGCGAAACTACCCTTAATGCTGATGATTTGCCAGGTGCGATCACTTCTTCTTTAAATGGAAGTAAAAGTTCTTTATCTTCCTCATCGTCAGAGATTTATCAATCGGTAGAAATGTTGCATAGTGGCAATTCAACCATTAGCGATCATTTGGACGACTTGATAGAATATTCGAAATCTAACTTGCCTGAAGAAATAAAGATATTTAAGTGTGAAAATATTAGTGTTACTAATCAAAGCGAAGACAGCGATTTTATTAACAAAAATAGAAATGTTAAGTTTATCAATGATAGTAACGTTATTCACGTGAGCAATGTTACTGATAAGAAAGTTGACATACATTTAACAACTCCGATGCTTACTACAAGCGTACTACAAAAATCAATATACCCAATAGTAACAGTGACATCGCCATCTCCGACACAAGAGATACAATTTGAAGAACTATCTTTGGAAACTTCAAGATTGCTGGTTCCCTTGGAATCACATAGTATTTCGAATTTTGGTAATTGTGACAACACATTCGATAAGCTGAAGCGCGATTTGAAGCAAAGAAAAGAAAAGAACAAAGCTATAGGAAATGGTCTCCGACCACTGTCGACTGAATATGCCCGGTTGGAAATGAGTAAATATTTTACGGAGAGTAAAAAAATTATTCCGAAAAGTCAACCGACAAAAAGTGAAGGAGCTGAGGACACGTCTAATATGGAAGTGGTGAAGTTACATATTGAGCCCAAGTTGTCGAACAAAGTAAATGCAGAGGAAATGCTCAAGTACTTTAATAAGAGTTCTTCGAATAATAAAAAATCTAAAACTTCCAACATATTCGCTATTAAACAAAATGAACGAAAGTTAGAAATTGATATTGAAGAAATAAGTGATTTGAGCAAGAAAGACATTGATGCGATTGATCAACAATTTAATCAAATTGAAGAGCAGAATAAAAGTGCATATTTGAAAGCTGACGACATGGGCTATTTGTCAGGATTTGAAGTATGTAATGATGAAGAGGGAATAGCGTGCAATAGTTTAGATTTAACATGTAATGATTGTGCTGAACTAAATCCTCAATCAAGCATTGACAGTGATTATGTCGATCCAGTAATGTCAAACAATAATATTCCTAAATTACAGGACAACGCAAGAGATATTTCATATTTACATATAGATACGGATATGGACCTAAATATTAACAATTTCGAGTTACATACTGCTATGGTTTCTGAAATATCAACATTACATACAGATGTAAAAAACAGCATTTATTTTAATATCACAAATGATGGAAAGGAACAAGAAAAAATCAATCCAGCAGATAATGTTCTGAAGAGTGACATAAGTAGCATAAATAAAGGAAAGGAAGCTAACGTAAAATTAACTAGCAATGAGATAGACGATGATGTAATTAAAGGAGACAATATAATTAAACCAGACGTACAAAGCAATATTTTAAATAATGCAGTGTATGAAGAAAAGAAAGCGATTTCAATGGATTTAGATGGAATCATACTGAATAATAATAGTGATGAAAAACAAACCGATAAAATAAATATTCCGAGTGATGACCTAGATAAAGACAATAAATCAAATGAAAATTTATTTGGACATAATCTCAATACACATCTTAATGCAAAGTTAACTACTCCTTTATCATTAAATAATAATACAGATAAAGTCATTACATGTAATAGGTTGCATAAAAGTGATACTAATTTAAATGAAGATACACCGCAAGTTTTTTGTAAAAGTATGAGCAATAATACTTCTAAATCATTGTCGGAATTAAAAAACGTGATATGTAAAGATGTGTCAGCAATAAAAACAACAATTATTAAGAAGATAATAGATACATCTACGGACATTAAAGATACGATTACACACAACAATTCAGTACAAAATTGTGTTGAAGAAGTTCCTAAAAGGCCCGAGCGAAAAATTTTGTCTTATAATATTAATTTCTTTCAAAAAACTCCAACAGCGATTCTTAATTCGACAATTTCTAACACCGAACTCTTTCCACCTGAAATTCCAGCGAGAAAAAAATCAGCAAAGAGAAGTTTCAAAGATCTACGTCGAAATCAGGCTGTTGAAGATATGCCAAAACTACAAAGTCAAACTATCGAGAATATTTCAAAATTACATGGTCAGAATAGCGATGTTTTTAATATTCAAAATCAATATGGGGAAAAGCTTTCAAAAGTTAAAAGTCAAGATGATAAGGACATTGCAAAACTAACGGGTCGTGAATTCAACAATGCCCCGAAAATTCAGGATATTCCAAATAATGACACTAATTCAATGGATATTCAAAGGCCATCAAGACGAAATGTCGCAAAATTACGAAATCGAGATATCATGAATCTTTCAAATGTAAATAAGGAAATAATAAAAGATGTTAAAGACATTGCAATAGCAGAAAATCGAGATGTTGCTGGTACGTCAAGACTACAAAGTCAAAACAAAAGTATATCGTCGACTCAAGAAGCTCATCATCATACAAATTTGGATTTGTTTAATAAACCTGAGGAATCTATAAAAATTATTTCTAGCAATAGTCAGTCAAAGAAAGACAAATGCATAATTTCATGATGTTAATATAATAATATCAATGCTATATATACAGTTGAAATATTTTGTGATATAACGTTTTACAAGAAATGCTTTAGCTTCAATTATATCCGTTTTAACGTTTTATTATAATTATTTAATTCTAATTTAATAACACAATTATCTATTGTTTTTTAATATTAAAAATTTATGAAAGCTTTTATATATATGTATATATAACTCAAAGCATAGTTTTATCAAGATGTTTAATATTAATACTTGTAAGAAGTGCGAAAAATTGCAAAAAATATGACATGTAACTTGAACTTTTAGTTAAAAAGCTATTTTAGATTGGTCAACAAATCTATTCTTCAAGCATGATCCGATATTATTATGTATTCTGTATATTTACTACAAATCTATCAAACGTTGGTGGGTTATATACATTTTGTTTGTACATCAAATCAATTCATATATCAATTGAGGTAGGAATATAACTCTCATATTTGCGATTTTTACAAGAACATTTCTCTATAGAGATTTCTGAATCGATAAAGTATATAATTTTTCGTATTTATAAACATATACACATATACACACACATACACGAATTTACAATTTTATCAAGAGACACAGTAGTGTCTCACGTCAAGTATACATATATGTACACAAATTTACAATTCTATTTTATGATTCTATAGTTTATATATAATCTTAGAGATCTTTATATATCTTTAATAAATATTGTAGTTGTGCAATTTTATAAATTAGGGAAAATTGTGTGAGATGTATTAATAAAGTAAATAGAAAGAGTGTATAAGTAAAAATCTTGGCTGATGGTGATTGACTTTTCAATTTTGATGGGCCTAGTATTTAATCCACCAATTAAGGAGGATTAAGGAAAAGGTAAATCATCTTGTTGTGTATGAGTGGAGTGCTATTGAACTAATTTATCATTAACAGTGACTTAAATCATTAATCGTTTGTGTTTGATTTAGTACTCATGCTAAAAGTAGCGGTTACTCACCAATGTTGACTAATTCATTCAGAGATTACCACCAGCCAGTACTTTATTAAGTGTCTCACCACGTTTTTGTTTTAGTTATAAAATTCAAATTTATACTCTATGATTCGACATATTAACCGTGATAAAATATTGATTTATAAGTAGACACCATTTACAGATATAACACATATCCAATCAGAGAAACACATAATAATCAGAGTGTTAGCATCAGAGTGTCTTTATCTACTCTTTATTTAATCCTTACTAATTTACTAAACTCACTTATTATTTTGACTATATATTTGTTATAATTTTTATTCATTTAGCACACTTTGTTCCGTAGGTTGTCTCGTCGGAAGAAGCGTCGACTGAGGAGAGCGTGGAAAATTCCGCGACCGAAATTTCGACCGACTCCGAATTTGAGCACGATGAAGCGACTCCGACACAGCACGAGATTCCCGAGATTACCATCAACGATTCCTACGTGCGGAAAACGAGAGGCGCTTATGTTGAGCCGAAGAAAGTGCAGGTGAAGAGTAAGATGATCTCTTCGATCAATGGCAACCTGACGCAAGACAAAAGACAGCAAGATATTAGCGAGCAGTTTTTGGGAGACCGTACTAAGAATCTTGAATCGAACAAAGAAGTAAATTGCAACGTGCCGGCTTCTGTCGACACAAATAACTGTACACCATTGTTGAATCCACGAAAGGGAGATTATCTTCTGAATCGCACTCACTCCACCGGCGGAATCGCTTCGAGACTCTCCTTAGAATTAAAAAAACGTTATTTGTTAGGCGGATCAGCGTTGGGTGGTTCCGTCATAAAATCAGGTTCGGCGTCTAATGTGGACACGAAATTGAGAAACTTTACTGATGCAATCTCTCAGCATCAAAAGTTATTAAACCCAGCACCGGAGCCTAGTCCTACCATGCAAGCATTTCTTCAAGGTATTTTATTTTTATGCTTTTATATTTTTAATGTTAATTTCTATATTATGTTATGACATCTTAATACTCGGAACTTTCCAATGACATAAAACAATATTTCTGATATGTTAATTACTGAGAAAGACCCGAGAAATAAATTTTTTAAATGATATTTTATTCTCGTAAAGTAATATATGTATTATTGTATTTTTTTTAAGGTACTAGTAAACTGCGAACCAACAATGCACCGCTTTCTCCACTGTCGCCTACAGTTTTATTTTCGCGACAGTTATCAACCGATCACTGCCGAAATTCGTTAAACGATGTCGCGAAGCCGACCACCTTGATAGAAACATCTAAAGCACAGCAATTACCTGATTTAGTGAAAGAATCCAGTATTTTGAAGTCGAAGACAGCACCCAACATCTGCAATGAGTCTTCAGTGAAAGACGGGAAGTTAATCGACGAACAAGTATTTCTACAGGAAACTAATAACTTGACGAAGAAGGCCTCTACTGCCTTTACTGTAGAGGATGTAAAAAGCTCGCAAAATACAGAGAAAGTTCTCTCGAACAATGCGGAGGAAGGTAACGGTTTTAGACCGCGTAGTCCTCTCCACGAGACATCCATTGTCGTGCCGCAAGTAGACTGGAGCAGGAAGAACGAAGACAAGGATGCCAGTTCGGGTGATTCTGAGATGGACAGCGATTCATTATCCTCTTCCGACTCTAACAAAGCAGTTGAGAAGCAACTTGCCGTAAATCTTTCGCCGCCCAGATTACGGATTCATAGCACCGATGGTGATCTTTTACTGGATGAGGGAACTGATCGATACACGAAGCTTTACGATCCTGATGATGGCCAGACTTTCGAGCCGGATTCTATCGAAGTCTCCTTTCTGCGGGACCGCCGATTACTCGATCCAATTGACAATACTGTTGAAATGGTGAATAATAATATGGAACGATTAGATTTGCGGGATGACAATAGAAAGAGCAACTGCAGCAGCCCTACTTCCGAAGCTTCGGCAATGTCTAACAAACAAGATGATTCCGAGGAGAACGATGTTACTACCGCAGCATTCACTGAGACAGAGTTTTCCGAATGGGCCCGCGATGGAGAGGCTTTGGTTTCTGACGACCTTCGTGACGTAGAACTCGATATTAATCCTAATTTCATCACTGTACGAAGGAATAATGCAAAGTTATCCTGTACACCCGCCAAAATTGCTAAAGAAGAGGATACGGAACTCGACTATTCCAAGATCGATCGGTTAATCGATCACGAGTACCCGAACAATAACACGTCAAAACTCTTAGTCAATGGCGAAGATATTAATTACATGGATACAGACAATGAGTCGCTGCTGGATGACAGCCTTCAAGATGCTTCCAATATCGCGATGCTGAAAAATCGAGGTTACATCGAATTTGTTAATATCAAGACGACTCTTTCCAACATTCCTACTTCAACTAACATGTGCGATCTACGAGTCGCTGATGCGCCAATAGCGAGGCTCGATCTGGAAAACGATTCGTACGGTGAAGAAGAAGAGGAAGAAGGCTTCAAGGACGCCAATGTGATCGAAATTGATCCAGTTACCATGGAGGATGTAATGGGCAAATTAAACGAGCCTAATGTGAGTAAATCGTCAATGAAATCGGATATTCCGGTGAAAGATCTGAATGAGGGGGAATTTAAGGAGAACGCGAAGCGGGAACAATTGGCAGAAGCTTTTAACAAAGAATTACTTCAATCGATGGAGGAAGATAGCTTGTTACTTGTAGAGCCAGCGGAAGATACGACCACCAGCGAAGTCGTCACAGTACTTGCGAGTCCGATCAATCCTCAGGTGTCTATAATTCCTGTAGAAACGACGGAGAAGCGCGAGGAGCCAGCCAAAGCGGACTCCAGCAATCCGGACTATCTGGAATACGTAAAGAGATTGCAATCTAGGATCGCAGAGTTTAGCAACGCCAAGGATTCTATTGACGTAAGAAAATCAAGGCGAAAAAACTCAAAAAGCTTGGCGCAGATCCGTACCGCAGAAATGATCGCTGAAGAGATTAAGTGCCAGGAAACGATGAACGTAACGGTAGACAGTAATGGTGTCAATTCACCGGCAACCTCAAGAAAACTTGAAGAGATTACAAGAGAACGGTCGAAACAAAAGAACCTTATTCAGGATCTTCTAATGGATAAACTTGAGGCTCACAAACAGAAGTCAGCCGAGAAAAAGGCCCGAAGAGCTGCCAGAGCCTCATCTTTTACCACAGCGGTGTCACCGATAAAACCGTCATTATCAAATTCTTCTTCCGTCGGTAATAAGTTTGTGCCTACTTCTATAATATCACCAGTGAGCAGTCCGACTCACACAATCTTCGGGGAGGCGAACAAGTCGTTGAATCTTTCGATGTTTTCGTGTCCTCGTGAGCAAACCGATCAAGAAGAAGCCAAAGAAAAAATCCCAAAGAAGGCAGACGAAGAGTCGATTACTGCTAGTCTAGAGAATTCTTTTAAAACGCCACTTGCACCACCAAGATTGAAGAGCGAGGAAGCTAGAAGGACCGCCGAAAAGGCTAGACAAGATGCACGAGAACGGGCTAGAATGAAGAGCGACGAAGACTTAGGCTTAAGTCCTGAAGACAGAATCAAAGAATTGAGAATGAAGGTGACTCGGAGACAACTCTCGATGGACGATACGAAAAAGGACGATACGCCGAAGACTGAAAGAGTTAAATCGTACAACTTTAGCACGATAGATAATTCGGAGCCAAAATTACAAATCAGCAAAAGCACCGATAATATGAAGAACATCGCAAAGAAGATCAATTTCCAGAAGCTACCAGCGGCTGGCGCGAAATCGATGGATGAGTTGCTGAATACCGCAGGTCTGTCACTTTCGGATAACAATAGTATGGCAACAAAACGGGATAAGAAGAAACAAAAAGACTCGGAGAGACGAAAGAGTATTATACAGGCGGTGTCAGACTTCTTCTTCAAGAAAGAAACAAGTCCATCGCCAAATCAGAAGGACAAGTTATCAATGTTCCGACTGACTTCGAAATCAAAAGGAAAAGTAAGTATTATTGTCACAGTTGTTGTTGTTGTTGTTGTTATTATATTGTTTATATTGTTATCGTACGAAGTATTCTGAAAGAAAATTGTGTATCGTTTTAAATTGCATATCGTTTCTATGTTAAATGCAGATTGATAAAACTGTTTCATCAAAATGCGACACAAGACCTAAAAGTGTATGCGAGGATATGCTCGTAGGAAATTTTCTAAGGGAAAATCCCCCGCCTGTACCGCCGCCACCGCTTAACTATTCTGCGTATGCCACTCAAGTATCAGGTATGACTTGTACAAATGTATCCTTATTGCTGATTTTACGAATATCTTATTACATTATTTAAATTACAAAGTATACATCTGTATCATGTGCGCACATTATACTTCTTGTAATAACTAATGATTGTAATAACATATGATTTATTTGATTTTATTATACTTTATTTATACGTAAAATAAAATTTCTCTTATTTTTCGATGAGTGATGCGTTTTATACGCTATTTAAAAATCTAATAGTTACGAATATAAAGTAATATTGTATTTTGATAATTTCATATTTTTATGTTTCAGATGACAGTTTATCAGATGACGATACCAAAACAGCTGCTTTATCAGGATCGTGTATGCAGAAAGTTACGGCAAATGAAGAATCGTGCAATAGTGTTTCGCGTAAATTGAAGACTGCTAAAAAAGTAGCCAGACAAGCACAGTTAAAGAGGTGAGACATAATATACTTACATTATATTTGAATAGAGAGAACGACATGTTAGCAAGTAGGCATTAGAGAAAAATATTAGAAAAAAATGTATAAAAGTGAGTAATATATATATTTAGAAACGCAGCTTTAATTTGAAATGCTGCTAAATTGAATATATTTTAAAGATTGCGGATGGCTCAAGAAATACAAAGAAAATTAGAGGAAACTGAAGTAAAACAAAAGGAATTGGAAAGCCGGGGCGTAAGTGTCGAGAAAGCGCTACGTGGTGAAGGAGGTAATAAAATATTCTTTACATATACATTGATTTCTTTCTTTAAGGTGATCCTAAAGCCGTGATCCTAGCCGGTTTTTTTCAGTTTTTTTCTTAGCACTAATCTTTTAATTGGCTTTATAGAAATGCAAAATTCTTGTCTAGAATTAAAGTACGCATCAAAATCTAGGTCATGGTGGTCTTCGTTATTACAGCTTGAATTATAATATTCTGCTTATATCCGATTATTATAATTTTTAATCTTTACACATTCTATTTGATATATTCATATAGATATTCAATCTTCAATTGTCTTTAATTAAAAAACCAAGTGAAGAATAACGGACATATGTTAATTGTTGTTAAATGAATACTTTACATATGTATACAGTATACATGATTGGGAAAATTTTAATCTGAGATATGAAATAATTTTATTTAGATTCCTCCAATCGTGAAGAAGCTGATTTGCTTAGAGAATGGTTTGATCTTATGAAGGAACGTACGGAACTGCGTAGATATGAAAAGGAACTACTAGTGCGTGCACAAGAGGTTCAGTTGGAAGATCGTCATGAACGATTGCAACAAGAATTGCGTGAACGCTTGGCTGACGATGGTATTTTCAATTTTCTAACTTATTAATTTATAATATTTTATGATAATTAGAATTTATCGAACATCAAAATGATAAAACTGCCAATATAATATTAGCAAA